GAGTATTGACTTGGATTTGTGTTTTATCTTTTTTGTGTCTTTTCAGAGCTTTTATTTTCTCAGTCATTCTCATGTATTCTAACTGCTATTTGGAAATGAAAACTTCTCTGCTCAACTATGTCACTTATGCCTTATTTCACCTGCTGATTCTTCTTTATTTTTCCCTTTATCAGGGAATAGGATCTAGTTAGTTTTTATGCAGCTCCCCAAAGCCATCTTGAAAGAATGCCTATACACAAGTATCTGTCATCAACAGTAGAGTGCTTTATTCACAATGGCTTCAAATCTGATTGGTTTTCCAGCACCTCTTTCTTCTTTCCAGGATCTGTTGGATCTCTGCTTTTGTATTTAATATAATTCAATGGTGGGTTTTTATTTTGTAGGCAGTTCCACAATGAGAGTGTCCAACTCTCCGACCTTCTTGACAACTTTACTGTAATAGCAATGAGGGGAAACAGAACATTTTATGTATACAAAAACAACTTGAGGCAAAATGGAGTTTGTGTGTAGACATTTCCCCATACAGTATAATTTACTGTATGAAAGCAGTAATTACTGTATCTGTAGCTCTGATTGTGTTTCATGGGTTCTATAAAATAATGTTATTGATATAATATATTTAGCTAAATAACTGCTTTGTTTAATCCTGGATGTAGTGCAGTCATGATGTCTACCCTCAAGAGAAATTGACTGTACAGTCTAATGCCTTGCTCTTCTTTTACAAACAACATTACCCTAGGGCTCCAAAAGATTTTGTTGTTATTTCTATTTATACATACCTTCCTTGAGGAGACAAGGAGATGCAAGAAGTGAGGCACTGATCTGCCTTTGGCAGACAGTTCCTGGTCATAGTGTGGCACAAAGGACAAGATTTGTGTTCCTTGCCACAGCCCTGTGCCCGAAGGGAGATAACATTACTTCAGGAGAACCAAACCAGAGAAGATTTATCATGTCACTCCTTCTGTATCCCGCCATCGGGCAGGCTCAGAGCAATAAGCAAAAGCTCTTGCAGAATTGAAGAAGTTGCAATGCTTTCACACACAGCAATGCTTTCCTCCTTGCTCCACCTGATAGGATTATTTTGTGTCACTTCATCCTCCCACAAACATCTCCCACAAGATGGGACTGTGCATGTTCATCCAAAACTGAACACCAGACTTTATGCTTGCTGCATCTTGTGAATATTCCTCTTTATGTAGTCCAAAGAGGAATCACTTTTGACGCAAATACTTTACTTGCTGTGTATAAAAAAAATCAATGTTTCTGGGACTGCCAGGTATAGGCTCTACACTTCCAAAAAGCTTCAGGAACATCTGTTGTCACCTGTGTGTGATCTTGTCTGTGATGGAACATTAGATATATAGAACTATTTGAAAAGGATCCTGCTTTCCTCACAGAAGCCATTTTTAACTGCCAAACTTAATAGACTCTCTACTTACTTTTACCTTTGTATAAACAAAGCTGGCCTCTGTTAAGCGATCAAGGAAATTGTGGAGGTTGGATCCTGGCCGGCTGAGAAACGTTCACCCAGCTGCTCTCTCACTCCCCATCCTCAACAGGACAGGGAAAGAAAATAAGATTGAAAAGTTAATGAATAAAGGGAAAATCACTTACCAGCTACTCTCAATGGGGAAACCAGACTTGACTTGGAAAAAATTAATTTAATTTATTGCCAGTTAAAATAGAGTAGAATGGTGAGAAACAAAGACAAAAACTAAAGCTCCTTCCCCCTGAATCCTTATTTTTCCTAGATCAATGATGTATGTGTGAAAACTAAAGAATGGTTTGTTGAGTCTTTTGATGGAGTGGCATACCTGACAGTCTTATATGTAATAGAAGTGAAAGAAAAAGGAAGAAGCCAGAGCAAGGCAGGTGTTATACAAAACAAATAAATTATTAAAATAACAAGAAGTAAGGTAATATGAATGCTAAGAGTATACCTATATCAAATATAGAGGAAAAACAATGGGGGAAAATAAAATCTCATACATTTAGTGTACAGACTGCTGTGTTTGATATCAACTCTGCTGATAGTGTATATAAAGCTGCTATTTAACAAAACTAAAGAAGTAACTAGATGCATAATAATTAAATTACAATAGTCGTAAAAGAAACAAAAAGTGCCTAAGAAAAAAAATACCCAAACCCTACAATATTAATACAGTGCAGTAAATCCCAGGATCCCCCAACTACAATGAATTCAAGAGGGAAATTGAGGAGATTGGAAAATGTATTGTATTAGTGAAGGGTTCCCCTTCAGCTGAGGTTTAGCATGGAAATTTGAGGCTACACCCTGCCAGAATATAAGATAAAAATAAGACTGGTAGTAAAGGACAGGGGTTTTATACCATTTACAGAGGAACAATGAGCTTGTGTGACTATGAAAGTATACTTAGCCTAAAGAGTAGAGGACAGGTCATGTAAGAATTTGCTTCTACCTAAAGAGAAATTGATACATTCTTTGGTAAGCAATGTCATATGTATCCTTCAAAGAAATTGATTGTACAGATTTATCTAAACTGTTCCTGACTTTTAAAATTAGTAGGTACAAAGAGCTGACTAAATGGAATCAATCTTTACCTTGGAAAGACAGTGTGCTTTCTTCCTTTCTCCCTCCATTTGTCATGATTTTGCCATTATCACTGGTCATGTACCAAGACTGGAATGGGCAAGCATCCGACCATGCATCCTGGTTGGGTCAATGACCTGGGATAGCTGCCCAACCCACTGTGCTGTGTCAGCCTCCATGTGCTTCTGCTACCATTTTGTTTGTCCCCAGCTTTCTGGGGAAACATATCTGATGTTTGCTTGCCTCTGCTCCCTCTTATATCATCTGTCTGTGGTTCTTACCTGACTAAAAAGTGAAAATTTTTATTCTGTGTCTTCTCGTTTTTTCCTCTTGTTTTCCTTCCTCCTTTGCCCATCACTGCATAGGCAGCTTACACTCTGAACAGACCTAGTTCTTTCTATTAAAGTATTCTGATCAGTCCAGACAGGTGAATCTATGTCGGAAACAACACTTGAAACAGCCTCGAATGTCCAGAACTGTCATATGCACTCCCTTAGGACAGATGTACAAGATGTGTGTAGATCTGAGCACTGCTTGCAAACAACCTCATCTTGCCCCCCAGTTCCCTGTCACTGCCTACCTACCCTGCCTGCTCCAAGGTCTGGTGTTGTGCAAATGATATTTTTATTTCAGTACAGGTTACTCAGAAACAGAAGCTCAGACAGAGGGGTCCCCTCTAGTGAGTTGGCTTGTATAGCAAAGAGAGCCAGGCCTGCTATCTGTGTCTCTGTAGAAATGGTTTTGTTCCAGGTCTCAGGACAAACAGGTGCTTGCTGCTGGCACCCTGAAAGACAGCCTATATAAAACATCACTGTATAAACTTACTGTCCTCTGCTTTTCTGCTAATCTCATTTCTGTGATGGGATATGCTGCAAAATGCTCTTGTGGAATCCCTGCTGGTCAGGACCTCATGTAGGAGAATAATATCCTGCATGTTCAGCATGTCCTCAGCTCAGAAATAAATATCAGACTAGATCTTTGCCTCACTGCTTTGACCCAGCTTTGGTGCATGACAAAATAGTTAAAATATTTAAAACATAATGTGAGCAAAGTTTAGAGGCCAGAGAAGAGTATGCATGCTTTTAAGAGTGTTGGAGCATACTGTTCTGAGAAGGAGGAGCCTATGAAGCCATGGATCAGTCCACAGTGTTTTAATGTTTGAGTTGTCTGAGAATTTCTGTGACCATTCTCAGTCTTGATTTGGAGTCTGACCTGTGGAACAGAGACCAGTTTTGCTACAGTGCAGTATTCAGCCGAAGGAAGAGGCCATTATTTTAGAAAAATGCTTTGAGTAGTTTGGCTGGAGAAACTTGTTTTGGTTTGTTTCTGTAGTTCTCTTGCAGATTGTTTTAAAACTTGTAGCCTAGGCCATTTTACATATGGTTTCCAGAGAAATTCTTCACTTTATGGACTCTGCCAATCTCTGCTGTATTTTTTTTTTCCTGATGACCTTTGGTGAACCAAGACTAGTCATGCAAGTTCAGATCTTCGGCTGAGCTCCAAGGGACATGTACTCTGACCTCAGAACCTAGATGGGAGAAAGGTCCTCCTCTGTGCAGGCATTCAGTGTTGACTGGTACTTGTCTTCTTGCTCTTTATGACTACCAGGGCCTGAAGGTCAGGTCAAAAAAGATGATAGATGAAAAATCTCCATCTGTCAAATCAGTTTCCTATGATTTGCATTTTCTGTCAGGTGCTGGACATTAACAACTCAATACTAAGTTGCATATGCTGCAGTTGATACATGTTGCAAAAAGAGAGGCAATGTCAAGGACAGTAATTAATTTCTATTTAGGTTTACAGAGACTCATAGCATGGGTGTTGTGGCTGAGGAGCCCCACTGAACATGCATTGTGGGTGTGACTGTGTAAGTTGGTCTGAAGATGAGATAAGGCTTTCCAGATCAGACAGAGGCAAGTTGCTCCATTTCTGAAACCCTGCTGCAGTAATGCTGAAACACTTCCTGATAGGGCAGGGTAGGTGAGGTTACTGAAACCCTTTCTTTAGTGACATTGGAACTTGGTGAGTCATGCTATCCGTATCTGAAATTAATCCAGTGAAGATTTTGTACATCCTTGGCAAATTGGCCTTCAAATGGAACAAGTAAGGAGAGAGAGTCAGAAGGAGATGGAGTAGAGAATAGAAAAGGTAAAAAAGCTGTAAGAATGAGAGAGGGGGGAAATCACTCTAATAGGAAGAATAGTGAGATTAAAAATAAAGAAATGAAGGAAGGATTCATTAAGAAAAGGAAATCTTTGCCTTTAATGGCAAAAAGGAAATAGAGGAGAATGTTAAAAGATACCTTTAACTTTACCTTACCCTGTCAGGCTTTTTACAGTTAATTTTAAACCATTGGAGGTATGTTAGCACCTTAGAAGCTCTTCTTACAACAAAAAAGAGTCACAGATTTTAATTGCTTTTTGTCTTGCAGATCCACCAAGACTCACCCTGGCCCAGTTGTACATTTAAGTGACAGCCCAAGAGATGAAGGAAAAGTGAGTACAACTAATGGTATAAAATTTTGCAGCATTTCATAGCCTTTATTTGCCTTGCTACTCTTTCCTTTTGCTCACTCACTGATTTTATTATCTGCTTTCTTTCTAAGTTTGCAAGTCACTTTATTTTACTGTTCTTAAGGAAAAAATTATCTTTGTACAAATTTAATAAGTAAACATTTGTGATGCAGAAAACATACTGTACTTTGAAATGTATAGCCATCTAAATTGTTCCTGTTTACAAAAGATTGACTTTGTATAAGTAAGGTTTGACTAAAAACTGTATCATGACTTCAGTACTTGGATAAACACATGCTTATGAAGGCATTATAGTAAATTTTTATAAGATAGGAAATCTTTTCTTATATAAGGATTATCATGATAATAACCCATGTTTGGAACTTGCTGCTGTTTGCAATTCTCAATTCTGTTCATTATCCACAAGTGGAAACCAAACATATAGTTAGAGCATTAGGGTTGTTACTGATACCACCAGGAGGCAGAGTTAGAGTTGGCTTTATTTGTATGGCAGCTTTTCAAAGATGAAATATGGTTGACAGAATTCTTTTTTTTTTTTTTTTTTTTTTTTTTTTTTTTTTTTTTTTTTTTTTTTTTTTTTTTTTTTTTTTTTTTTTTTTTTTTTTTTTTTTTTTTTTTTTTTTTTTTNTTTTTTTTTTTTTTTTTTTTTTTTTTTTTTTTTTTTTTTTTTTTTTTTTTGTTTTTTTTTTTTTTTTTTTTTTTTTTTTAATGTGTTGCTACTGATATTTGAGCATTTTGCCTGTATGGAAAGGGTATTTATCTCTCTCATTGGTCTTCTCATTTTTAGTAATTGCATTTCAGTATGTATTTATAAAGTACTGCATCTTCCAAGTGGTCTGTCTGTTTGACAGCATGCCTCACATAACAGCAAATAGTTGTTAGAAACTAGCAGCAGTTTAAATCTCTGATACTGATATGGGGGATACTATGCTGAAATTATGGGTACCTAGAAAAGCTCTGATGGCTACATCTGATTTTCATTTGCATCACTTGTCCTTGGACTTACTCATATTGCGTGGTGAGCTATGCACAAACAGTGCACTTGTGAACCAACCCTGTAACAAATTTGATGGCATCTCTAAGCCTTTCTGGAAGAATCACAATAGGTGAAGCAATTTAGAATACTATCAAATAAAGTAATTAAACATATTGAAGTGTAGTGTTGCAGCCTCAAACAAGAAGCCATCAAGAAATGTGGTTTATTTATCTCTGGCAAAATATCTGGTGAGAATAAAGGTTTATTGATGAGGCATCATTCTTGTTTGCTGGTCACAAGAGAAGCTGCTGCTGAGCTACCTAAAGCACATAGTGTAGGAAAAAAGGGTATTAAAAAAAAAAAGGTCTTGTCAGTGAAGGCTTTTTATAGGAATGCCATGCACTGTGTACAAACAGAAACCTAAAAATATTTTTCAGCAGAAAGGGAGAAGATGAAAAGGGCTCAGGCAAGAGAGTTAAAAGAGAACTGGCTTGGGAATACAAGTGTTTGTTGCTCAGAGGGCACACAGGAGACATCTGGGCATTGATGAAATACTAGCATTCAAAGAACAACAGCAAATTCAGACAAATGCCTATGAAAAACAAACATTGAAAATTTATGAGGAGAAGTAGTAGAAAATGTAAGGTATATTAAAACCATCTCAATGCATCTTTTTATATCATTGCTAGATTGAGAGTGGTGTAAAGAATGAATTAGTACTAACAAAATACTTACAGTTTTGCAGAATGTAGAATTGATAGTGTTTACAGGAAGATATCAGTAGAAGGTACACAGATGTAAGAGAAGATCCAAACATTAAATCAGTAGACAATTCTAAATTAAAAAAAAAAATCAACAGTGGAGAAATAAATTAAACTACATTCTTCAACTTAGTCTTCTTAAACTTTAGTTAAAGAATGCAGAATAAAACAACCATTATTCAGAGTGAGGAAAAAATGTGGAAAAAAGCAGCTCCTCAGACTTTTACTGTTCAACATGGTCATATATAGCCTAGAAAATAGAGTAAGCAATGATGTCACCTGGTTTGTTGGACTTTAGGAGGCTGAGAAACTCAGCAGTAAAATAGCACGTTAAATACTGTATTTTTAAGTATATTCAGTGTAAATGATGACAAGTGATACATGTAGGGCAAAATATTTCTGACTTTACATATAAAACAATGGGTGTGAGCTGATGATTCCTGTTTGGTATCAAGAGCTTTGAGTGATGATTAATAGTTCAGTGGAAATGCAAGTCATCTCAATGCTCAGTAGTGAACAATAAAGAAAACCAAAATTAGGCATTATGCAGAGAAGAATAGAGAACAAAACAAAGCTATTAAAGAAATGCATTGTTGACCTGCCTGCTGATTACTGAGTATAATACTTGTCCTTCTGTGTCTAAAATGAACATAATGCTGAAAGAAATTCAGAGAAGGGACTGGGTTTTCTATATGAGAGGCAACTCAGTGAGACAGGAAAATTCACTATGGAAAAGACCTAACTGATTCCAAGTTTGAAAATCACAGTTGATATTAAGAGGATGGAAACAGCTCAGTGTCTTTCAATACAAAAACTAAAACGATACCAAATAAAACTGTCTGGTCAGATTCCAAACAAGCCAATTAAGTACTTCTTCAAATGTGCAATGGGTAGAATCTATGAAACTTTTTCCAAATACTATTGTGTGTGCTGAAAATGTACTGATCACAAGGAAGAAAAAGTTAACACAAAAGAAATCCATGTGAGGGTAACTGATGAGATTTGCTGAATTCTCCTAAAAGGTTCTTAAAGATGAGGTTAAACAGAGCCATGTATAGTTGAGGAGGTGGCTATACTTGAATGAGAAAATAATTTAGACAGAGAGAATATGTGAGAGTGTTACCAATATTTTTCTTCCTCCCATATTATTTGGCATTTGCTCTTGGCCATTTCAGTACAAGATGCTGTCATAGGTAGACTTCTATTTAATTTAGCAGAGTTATTCTTAGATAAAAGAGCTGTTTGATGATAGTTCCACATACTTTGCTAAACTCCACAGCTCAAAGCTAACCAAAGACAAACAAAATGTATTGGTGGCAGAAATCAGACTCCACATGTCACATCATGATGGGCAGCAGATAGAAGTGTTCTTTGCATATGTTTCAGGAATTAAATAGTAGGTACAAACCAGTCATAATCATTACTCAAAATGCAGATGTTCCTGTACTCTACAAGAGTACTACTCTACAAGTACTTTGCCAAGAGTGTAGTGGTATAGCCTTCTCTGGGATTGTTTACATACCTGGGACTGTTTTGTTGAAATAAATATTTCTCATATGGACACTGAGAAGTTTAGAGTCCTAAAACATAGTCAGGCCTTTCAAAATCTAGGACAATCATAAGAGCTCTATTTAAAAGCCAGGGAAGTTTATGCACTGGCAGTATCTTCACCTTTTTCATTAAGATCCTTTGAATTCCTAAATGTTCCAGTTTATTTCATGGACTGGTGATGGGGTTCCTTGTACCAAAAGAGTGAATGCAACTCAAGACAACTTCTGCCATTCAGAACTTTTCCAGAGTGGCCTCCAGGCAAACTATCCAGGCAGGCTTTGGAGACAAGTCTCTTTTATGAATCTAAAAAGCTATGGCTGGAAGACAAACATCAAAGAGAATTTAGGCATTTAATGTGTCACTGAAGAACAATTTGGGGACCAAGTGATTAAGTTCGTGAAATATAACTGTGTCTGCCAAATCAATTAATAAGTGTACATTAGGGACAGACTGGAGTGCACAGACATTTATAAGTGGCAGATCTGTTGCAAACATGATTTTTCTTGCTGACAAAGGAAAAGACATTAACTGCAACAATCTGCAATTTCCCAGCAAACAGAGAAGGCTTAATAGGAAAAGGTTTAATGTTATTTACAATTAGCTGGTGGGCTAAACTTCCTATCTCTGAGTCTGAGTTCTGAGATCTAATAATACCTAAAACAACAAGCCTGTTTGTCAGGCTTGTTGTTTGTTTGGGATTTTTTCTCCAGCTTTGTGTTACCAGGACAAGGAAGGGGCTTGCTGTCATGTACCAGAATGTAATTAGTTGACTGTAAAAAAGAAATTTCCTCCCATCATCAAAAGCATTTGATGAAGAATAATTTAAGTCAAATTGTGAAACACTCCACTAAACAAGGAGGATCTTGCCAGGATTTTCTCTCCAAATTCTGTCCAATGTTCTGCTTTTTTTGTAACCTAATTAAGTGTGAGTAATTAAACGAGGTGCCACAAAAGGCAAGATAAATCTTTGGAGTTTTTTCCATCCTTGACTCTTTTTACAGATACTGCTTTACTTTTTCTGGGTTTTCCTCTCCAACTCTATTTATAGATATTTTGCTTTTTACTTTTATTACAGAAATAGAGCTTGTCTTATAGATGTCCCAAGTGATCATTATGACTGAGAGGAGTGAGAATGTTTCAGTTTCCTATGGTTCAGACAGATCAGAATCCAGAGCATCCCAAATATCCTGGCAATGAGACTAATCCCATTCACCCAAGCTGGAATTGTGACTTCAGTGCTGTACCACAGTGTTAGTACTAAAGCAGCATGATTACTGTCTGAACAAATAGAGAGATTCCTGGATATGCAGCAAAACTCTTTGCCTTTCAGTTTCTTCCCTGAAATCACACTTTATAACTTGCAATTCTTTAGTGCAGTTGTGCATTAAGCATTTCAGCAATAGTTCAGGTGAAATGCTGCCTCTAATAAAAGGTATTTAACCTTTTAGTAATTACCTGGAGCATGATATCTTTGCAAAAGAGAGGGGTAAAAATCAAAAGAGAAGCCTGCTTCCCCAGGGAAGAAAGGCTTATTAAGAAACAGGGGGTCACATACTACATACTTTTAAATTCCTTCACTTTTCTGAATATATTTGTACAAAAGCTGAGGTGAAAAGAATATTGGTAGATACAAACTGAACATGACTGGTTTAGTACCCAGCTGTAATGCACATGTGCAAGTGCTTGTTGTGATGACAGTAAGATGGGCACTCAGACTCCGTAAATTACTAAAATACTCTTTATTGGAGTGAATACAAAAAGGAGGGTGGGAACCCCAAACTGTGTAGGATTGGATAAACCTCCAATAAGGGCATGGCACCATCCTCTGTGAAGAGGCTCTTGCCAGCATTTTGGTCTTTGGAGATCCCAAAATATATTTTTTTTTTTAAAGTGTCATATCCATTCTTACTGTCAAACAAAAGGATGTTGACATGACACATACATTAAGATAAAGGCACAAAGGTGTTGTCCTTACCTTTATCAAGTGGGAGAGGCCTACAAGGTCCTTTATAATGAGCAGCTAAGTTTACCCTGTGGCCAAGGAATATGCGCAGCACAATGCAGGTTTGGAAGCCAAGTGCTGTGTGCAGCACAACACAGCACAGACCTGCACCTACTCAAGTGTACTGCTGTGAGCATCACTAACTCCTGGATATACAAATAGCTTCCATTTGGGATTGCTATACCAACAGTGCAAGCAGCTGCAGTAAGAACCTCCTTTGTTCATTCTCTCAATGGCAGCCTATTATCCCAGAATACCATATGGCATCCTGACACAGGAGCTATCCAGTTAGCTGCATGCTTCCTGACTCTGACACAAAAATCCCATGTGGAGCCATCCAGAAAAAAAAGGCTAAATATTCTGGAATTTTTCCAGGACAGTTTGAATTTTTTTCAGGAGAATGATTCTTCAGGAGCATAAGTAGTTATTGTTTATATTCAGGTATTAAATATTTTAACTATAAATTGTTTCCAGATTAGCTAGAAGATTCCCCAAAAGGAATGTTCTCTTGTCAAGAAAAAGAAACAAATCCAGTAGATCTGAGAGTATTCTTAAGCTCTTTTGTAGCAGTATTGATGTATCAGTTATACTTAACTTGGAAAGAAAGTGGTGTTTTGTTTAGCAGCCCAGACAAATTTCATTTTTAGGACTCATGCAAGCTACTAAAGTGAGTGATAGCAAAGATGGTGTTAAGGTTTCTCCAGCTAAGAGATTATCTTGTCATTATTCTTCATAAATTCTTTATATAGATACTGTAAATCCTTGCCTGCATTCTGTGATATGTCTGTTTACAGATGATGAATAACTGCAATTATCATTGCCAGTTGTATGAAATATTCTGTCACAGAAATGTGAGTATGCCAGTTTAGCCATTTTCTGTCTTCATGTCCAGAACAGATTCTTAAGAAGACAGATTCTATGGGAAACAGTTTCCAAGACACCTAAATAAGCTAGACATCATATTGTCCATAAGATTTGAAATGTGTTCAAATGAAGAGTAACTCTACAGTACCAAATAAATATTTCACTTCTTTTGGGTGTAGACAAGGAGAAATTATTTTGTTAATTCTTACTTTTCTCCTGACTATTGTTTTTCTTCTCTTTCATCTTTTCAGTATCTTTGCTGTTACTTCTCTTGTGTGCATGATTATATGAAGTCCCAGTTCTATAAGAAGTAAAAATTGACATCAGTTAATTTATTTTTAATCATTAGGAAAGCAAGCAATTTGTTCTCTGCTGGAGGAGTTCTTCAGAATGTTTTAATGCAATAGCAAATATAAATAAAAGGAATATAAGTAACTGAATGAAAGTTTAATCTGGTGACTCTCTCAGTTTGAAGTTATTTAGGTGGTATCTTAGGTGTCAAACATTTTTTTCTCCAACAAGATGCAGGGAAGGTAAGAGCTGGTAGGAACATGCTACAGTCTTTGGTTTTCAGCAGATATGCAGTTAAGAAGATTGTACAGTCGCATAATCATCCAGGTGGAAAAAATGGTGTATAAAGCCCTTTTTTTCCCGTGTCAGATCTTAAATGGCCAGCAATGTGAAGTAATTTATACTGAAAGATAAGTTGAACGAAGGTATTATGTGTAATACCTTGTGTAATGTACAAATTACAATCTTGCACATGGCTTTGTTATTTCTTTTTGTATTAGTCAATATTTATATGTACCTTTTGAATCAGAAAATGTAACTGTGTTTTCTGTCCCTGCTCCAGCTGTTGATAGGCTATGAAAATGGGACCATCGTGTTCTGGGACCTGCGATCTAAAAGAGCCGATCTGAGAGCTTATTATGATGAGGTAGGCAATTTCCATTAACTCGGCAAAGGCATTATTCAGCGGTTTGCCATATGTCTTACCAAGCAGGTGGATGTTTATCTAAAGGCATTGCTGGTTCTGGAAGTACTGTCTGTGCTATGCTTTTGGGCAAATTACTTACAATAGAAATCAAAGTCTGAATCTCTAGTTCTGATGATTTAGGCTCTCATGAGTGTACTGTGACACAGAATGTCCTCCCCTTGATTCTGACAAGTTCATCAACTTCTCTGTGGGGATGCTCAGTTGAACAGTCTAGCAATGAGCTGACCTGAGATACAGCTACAATAGCAATTACATTGTAATCTCTACTGGGTATATCTAGAACATTCATTATATTGGAAGACAAATTGCCTTGTACAGCTGTTGATATTGCCTAGTACTTAAGATCTGATTAAACAGTTTTCAAAATTATATTGTCATAGTTATCACACAGTTGTCTCTTGTCATTTGTAAGCAGCCATTGTTAACCATAGATGCAGTTCTTGTATCAATAATCAAGCTGCTTGAGAAATAGATATACTCCTAGTTATTATGATTTTAGCACTAGCCCTAGGAAAAAAATATTCTTTGTTCTGCCAATCCTCTAAAGTTCACCACAGATGAACATGAATGCAGCTGTAGCTGAAAATAGAAAAGGACATTTTCTTTAAAGTGATCCTAGCAGTAATTGGTTTCCTGTAGTTCTCTTTCCTTCTCCATCTTGTCACTTTGCTATGTATGAGTGTATACACATTTATTTCCCCTCTAAAAAGCAATCTGAATACAGGTGGATCCTGCATTCTTTCAGACCTGCTGTCAGAGACACATTAAAGCTACTCTGAGCTTCAAGTTAAATTTCGAGCATCAACATAGCAAATGTTTCAAAGGACAAGTTTGAGCAGGCCAGCACTTAAACCTCAAGACATGCCCACTGAATTGTCTCTCAGCGACAGTCGGCTTGTGCAAACACTTGTGAAATTGCACCCCTTCTGTTACTTAAGGCTGAACAACTTCTTCCTTTTACAGGTCTCCTCAGGAAGGGTGGGGGTGGGGATACCTGTTCACTCACTGTCCTGTCTTGTACTCAGAATAAAACTACATGAAGCAGGATCTTCTTAATGCTGATTCCTTTTTTTTTTTTTTTTTCATTTTGAGACAGAATGAATGGATGTTGAAAATTCCTCATACAATTTAGATGTTCCACATTTTTCAGTACTGTTCTCAGGAACTTCTTTTTGCCTTTTAGTCAGTCCCATGGTTTCCTCCTCCATGGTTATTTACTGTGTCATTACTCCACTTTGTTGAACTTGTGCTAGCTTGTTATATACTGAAATAATTGCAAGATTCTTATTTTGTTTTTAAAGTATTGTGTGACTAACCATTTTACTTTATTCCCAACTTTCAGGCTCCATGTTTATAATGTTCCAGACCTGCTAGAATTCCCTTAAGGAAGCCACAACCCTTAGGGAGCCACTAAAAAGGGTTCCTTTTTAAATCCTGGGTTACATAGGTTCTGTGAGTCAAAAATTACTAGTTTGGCATGTGCTACTTGGTATTTAGCAGCAAGACAAATTATCAAGCCTAAGCCTCATCTTATGGGTTGACCACCAAAGATCACAGTCCAGAAGTCATTGTTCCTGCTCCCCTTCACTGTGCTATCTGGACTGATGGAATGCCTCTGTGCCCCACGATGTCTGACCGATCTCTCAGTATTTTTCTGGGACTGGGCCAGAACAGTTCCAGTTGCAGGGTATCTGTGAAGTCTCAGATAAATTCCAGTAAGTGTTCTGTATCTTGATTAAGTACCAAAGTGCCTCTTTGTATGAGTTCTGATTTAAATTATTTCACCCTCACTTTTCTTACTATCATCATGATTTTCATCTTCTCAATGGTGATATACATGAGACATTGAGGCCCTTCCAATCAATGCTCCTACACAATGTCTTCTATAAAATGTTTTCCTTACAAACTCTTTTATAATTTCCTGCAAAAGTTTATTTCCATCAATTGGTATAAAAAAACAGCACATAAGACAGACCTTTCAAAAGGTTCTCAAGTTGTTAATGATAGTTGGCAAACCCAAAATCCAGCCATCTTCCTGTGCAGGCTTTAGAAGTTTGTGTCAAACCCCATTCAGAGTTGTCTGAAGCAGTTATCATCTTTCGCTGGAACACATCCCCAAAACGAAGATGCAGAGCTCTAAGAGGCATTTGACAAATGACAACTCCCTACCTTTGTCTAGCACCATGCCACTATGGAAATATCAAATTGCATGTGGCCCTTGCTGTAATAGTCCTGCAGTACTCCGAACACAATTTCTTAGCATTCAAACAGTAAGATGAGACAAGCATTTTTCATGTCTCCAAAATATGGTTAAAAGTGGTACTAAAGACCCTCTGTGGAGATTTGTGGTTGGGAAGGAACTGAAATGGTGTTTGGCATGCTTAATTTTACCACATCCTGAGTGTGAGAGAAGATGGAATGTGTATGCAACCACTGTAGGTATTGCAAAAGGAGAAACATACCTAATCTGGAGTGAGATGCTTTATGTGCATACACTGTGTGAACATTCTCATGAGCCACCCACCATGAGGAACTAAGCAAATAGCTTCTCCTTTTGTGCGTGGATGCTGAAGAAGTGGATCTGAATGCTAGACATAATCTAGGAAGGAAAATTAGGTATTTGTTCAGGACCATCTTTCAGAATTACTCGTGACTTGCAGCTGATACCTCCAAAAGCATTTCTGTTTTTCTTGCCCATTTTGTGGCAAGGTCTAACAGGTCAGTTTGAGTTGCTGCTATGCCAGCTGTCTGTGCCAGGATCATCCCACCTCAGCTCCCCTCCACAGGAGGTTGGTGCTGGCAGGTGGCACCTGGTCACAGAGAAGCAGATTAACAAGCAGCTCGGTATGTTTTATAGCTAGTTATTTGCTCCTGCTCCGACACAGTTAGTGACTGTAACCATGTGAAATGTTTCTAAGGGTGACAGTACATCAAAACCAGATTCAAATTTGGCATGATAGCAAGCATGAATGAGCTCATGTCAGAATTAATTTGCATGAAGATAGACATGCTTTCAGTGTAAATGAAGCAATGCTCCCCACAGAACTAAGGTTATTCTACCCGAGGGGAACAACACTGGACTCTGCATGAACCATCTTTCTGTGTTGTCTCTTGTTACTTCAACTATAGTTTGGTTCCTTCTGGTTATTTAAGAGGAATTGTGTACCAACTCCCTCTCTGAAAGGCAGAAGTTTGGGTGATACCCATTATGTCACCAAAAAAATAAATATATAGAGTTAAATTTTTTTCAGCTCTGTTTTTTGTGTCCTTTTTTTGGCACAACTGTTTTAGTAGTGTGTTAATCAAGCATTCATATAGAAGGTATGTAGGATTCCTGTTAAAACATCTGGGTCATCTTAATGCAAATTCATTTGTGGCTCTGCTGTCCAGCCCCAGGAACTGAGTAAAGCTTTGGCAAAGGGTCATGGCCCTTCAGTTGATTTCTTCTGATAATCTCTCCAGACCATGAGCTGTAACCAACCATAACAATCCATATAATGATTAGAAGAGGAAAACCAACAGGGAGTTTTAAATAGCGACCAGTAGCACTTAAACAAAATTAATATGAACAGCTGCAATGCCTACTTATGAATATCCAGTCATGATGTTGTCATTTGAATCAGATAAATGTCTATATGCAGTTTTAAGTGCATGCAAGGCCTTAGCATTTCCTAGGTTGAAAAAAAAACCTGGAAATTTATTAAGCTGCATTCAAAAATCTCTCAAAAAATTCAAAGATCTCTTTTATCTATAGTTACATAAAATTATATTGTGTTTTTTGCTATTTAGCAGTGAAGGGAAGGGACTTGGATTCTGGGAAGAATTCTGTGAGTTTGTGCTTCTGTGAGGAGTGTGTGAGGAACTGTGGTATAGAATGAATGTTTTGTCAGAATATGGTTTTTGTTAGTTTCCAGCACATACTAGTGAAATTAAAGGACTTATGCCATTATCCTTTCCTATAGTTTGATGTAACAATGGATATTTTCAGTCAGTTCCACTAATTATGCACAAAATACTAAGAATGGTATATGTAACATTCATCATGTGGTACTTGTATGCACAAAGGAGTGTAATATTCCTCTTCTCTGATGTATTATCTATACCAAAATTATCTTACATCATTGTTTTGGTAATTTTCTATATCAGTGAAACAGCCCAGGTTTTTTAGTATTTTGGTTTTGACATTAAACATTCCAGATTTTTGTGGACTTACTCTGCAGCTTAAGTATGTGAGAGTACATGTGGAAATTATCTAAGAAATATGTTTTTCTTCCTCTGGGGAAGACTGTGTTGTATGTTACCTGTAAAGATTTTAACACCGAATTACCTGTAAATTTACCAGATTAAATACTTTGAAGGAAAGCTATCGGACATATTACAACTGCATTAATGGCCCTTGTTCTTACACTTTTATCTTAATACCCTTTTCCTTCAATTTTGGCCTGATTCAATACAGGCATTCTTACATTTCTGTGTTACATTAGCCTTTATGATGAAATGTGGATTATAGCCATCTGTGGCTAACAAGTGATGGTAATGGACTTCAGACAAACAGGAACCATCCAACTGTTGATATACCATTAGAACAATATAATCTGAAGTCATACATGAAACCATCATTATTGTAAACACTGTATTCCATTCCAGTCTCAAATTCTTCTTTCCTTTCTGTAGGCTATTCATTCTGTTGCTTGGCATCATGAAGGGAAACAGTTTATGTGCAGTCACTCTGATGGCAGCTTGACCCTATGGAATCTGAAAAGCCCCAACAGACCATTCCAGACCACAATTCCACATGGTAATTCTGATAGTTTAAATGTGTAACTAAGAAGCAATACAGTCTTCTCAATGCTGCTTGCTAATATGTATGTTTCTTTAATTTTTCCTTGTAGCCCAGATGTTGCTTCTTGCATAAATATTTTGATCTGCAAAGTAGCTGCAAATTATTGTAAAATCAGTAACTTAAATCAAACTTTTTTTTTGTAATTGGGGTCATAAATACCTCTTTCTAATTTATATTATTCTAATGTCTTATCCAATTCCTTTTAAGAGTCTACTGCTGGTCTGTGAGACTCTCAGGCTCTTTCTTTTTTTTATAGTTTGTATTTTATGTGCAATTTTCACAACAAATTAATGTGTTTTGTACAAGGTAGTGTGGTGTTTGTCATGGGAATGGTACAAGGCTTCCCAAAGAACTGCAATGAAGAATTTAAAGGACCCATAGTAAGAGATAGTTTTATATGTAGGACTTTACATAAAATTGTTTCCTACAAATTAGGTTGAAAAGGAATGACACCATTGCAAATGTATACATTTACGTTTACTTTACTGAGAAATCTGACTGGGTAGAGAAGGAGGAAGGAGAAGAAGTCAAGATCTAAGTACCCCCAAAAGGATTTAGCATTTTCTTAATTTAGTTCTGGTTTATCATTTTTAGTAATAGAATTCTACAATGTCAGAAGGGAACTCTCAGCTAGTCAGATGGCCAGATCAAAGCAGGCCTGATTTGATGGGTAAACTCAGGACATCAGGCACTTGAACACTTCCAGCAAAAAATTGCACAACCTCTTTGGGCAATATCTTTTGGTATTTAATGACCCATGTGGCACATTTTTTTTTTTTTTTTAATATCTAACCAGAATTTTCCATGCCACAACTTATGTCCTTTATCTCCCATCACAGCACTGTTTACCTCTGAGAAAAGTCTTTATCCATCTACACTGTATTCTCCAGTCAGGCTGTTGTCAAAAGCCAACATAGGCTTTCCAAAGCAAGAAACCCAAAATTGCTATTTGTTCAGTTTGCAAGTGACTTTTCTCTGATTGGAAAAAAGTACTGAGCCATAATTAACCAAGAATTAATGAATTTCAGTAGTATGCTTCATTTAATTTTATCACGTAACTAGTTATACACCAAAGCAGGTAATGTTTTGTCAACAACAGGAATTAAGTCAATCTAATGGCTTAGGAAAAATTAAGCTGTTATGGTCATTCAGAAAAAAAGGCACCTAATTAGTCTGATTCACTCATTATTGGTTAAGTTTCATACTCAGGAATCTGCATGGTTTATAGATGTCTTTGAAGTGTGTTCTGTAGTCCTTTAGATGTATGTGGCAGTAAAAACACAAAGACATAATAAATGTAATTAATTTAGACAAATGTGTATTTTATGGAAATAGGAGCTGATGCTTTTAATCTTTTGTAGCTTTAAAGTTCCTTTTTTTGTTTCTTATACAGATCTTTCAATGTATATGTTTTAGTTTGAACATTCAATTTCATGTTTTAATAGTTTTCATATTCTTTCTTTCCTTAGGAAAAGTCCAAAGAGATGGAAAAAAACCTGAATCTTGTAAACCAATTCTTAAAGTAGAGTACAAGACCTGTAAAAACAGGTTTGTTTTTAATTCTATAATTAACTCAATATTACATTCCCAAATTTAAGTTCTTTTAGAATCTTTTCCTGCTTTCTTTTTACAAATCTATTTATTATTATTTGCAGATACTAAAGCCGTAATGTAAACTTTTATGTAGCATGTAGACTTACACTTGTTTTTTTTAATATAGTGAACCATTTGTGATATTTTCTGGTGGATTGTCCTATGATAAGCCTTGTCGAAGACCAAGCTTAACAATCATGCATGGGAAAGCAATTACAGTTCTTGAAATGGATCATCCTATAGTTGATTTTTTAACTCTTTGTGAAACCCCATATCCAAATGGTGAGTCTATTAGGAAAAATACAATTATGGAATCTATAAACAAACTGATCTTTCCTCATACATTAATCCCATTCCATGGACTTCCATCCTCATGTTTGTCTTCATTTCAGGAAAACTACATAAGTGAAAGTACCTGAACTTGTTTGCATTCTAAATGTAGGAAGCAAGTAGTGAGTGGACAATAAAGCATGCATTAATCTCCACTTATAGGATTGAAACCCATGGGCTACTGTGAGAATACATTGCTATTAATCAAAGATAGGTGCTTTTATTTCCGAAATTTTTCATCATTCACAGCTTGCTAAATTATGAAAATTTAACTATCACTTACCTGCAAAAAAAGTTCTTACACTTCAGCATGAAATGAGCTGTTACAAAGTGTTATATTTGCTGCATACTGTGGGGCTGCCAAGTTCTGAAATATGTTGTCAGAAAGTTCCAGAAAGTAAATAAAGAAAATATCTAAGTCAGAAAGGAACTAACTTTAGTATTCTCAGCTCTCAAGCAGAAAAGTTAAATAAATCTTATACATAGGTAAACCAAATATACATTGAAAACACTTAGTATAGATAAAGTGTATATGTACTTCAATATCATGCAAAAATTTAATTTTCTGTAGTCAGGGTTGCTTTGGGCCTTCATTTAACTGTGTCAAATACTTCCCAGTACTTAGGTTTTTAGCATCTTCCCCTGCTCACAGACCAATATTTAAACATTTTTGTTTAACTTGTGTTATTCATAGCCAAGTATAAAAAGAGGCAACAAATAATGTGCATTCATAGCAGGACTGAAAGGAAGATGAATCAGTTGCTCTCATTTACTCTTCCTTTTGGCATCACCCATCTGAACAGTTTATTCTGAGCTTGCACGTGCTGGAATGATTTGCTGCTGTTGAAAAGAAAGTCATAATTTCACATTTTATTTTTTTATAAAAAATGTAAATGATAAAAAGTATGTAAATGAATATACTCTATGCATCAAGGGAAGCATTTATTTGTCATCTTAATTCTTTAGTTTTGATAAATAAAAAGAGACTTATATAAAAAAACCAAAGCATATAATCCCCTAAAGAGTGTGTGGGAGGAAGGGGCATGTTATTACCTGAATTGAAAACAGCAGACTTACAGGATTCCTAGGGAATATTCTCCTTTAATCATCTAAGAAATGGGGACATTGTGTATCATGAAGTGTCCTGCACAATCTGTTTCTGCAGAGCAGTTGTACACAGTAGAAGTATTACTTTTGGACAGCAAAAATACTTTTTCTGTATAACAATTGGATTCAATAATGCAATGATGCACATAACTTATTCATATTATACTTCTTTACTTTCAACATAGCATCATGCTGGCAGGCTATAATACTCCAATTCTTCTTCTGCTTTGTATGTTTGTCAACAGTACTGTCCAAAAGTAATTTCCTACTTCCTCTCTGGCCCTAGTTTCCAGCTCTGTCTGGTTTGTGCATATGTCAAGGGTTTATACCTCAAAGCTTTTAATATACTGTGAAAGTTTAAAGAACATAAATATTGCTTGCTTGCTTAAAATGGCTGGTAGGAGAACTCCGTGTCTTTTATACTTGATCCCTTGCTTACAGAATTTCAAGAACCCTATGCTGTAGTTGTGCTTTTGGAAAAAGATCTCATTGTCGTTGACCTGACACAAAGCAAGTAAGTATAAAGTTTTATGTGAAGTTATATGTGTGTTTAACTGTCCAGTAAATTACCATAAAATTTAAAATCATTTAACTGTCCAAAATCCTTAATTCTTGGAAATAACTCCTGCTAAATATTTACTTCTACTTTTAAGAGCTAAGTTCATGTCATGAACAGGAATTTAGGATAATATTTGTTCTTAAACTTTGGAATTAATTTAAATCTGCGGTCCCTTCAGCACAGCCCTCAAACATTCATTCAAGATCAAAGTTAAATAATATTTAAACACATATATAATTTGGAAATAAGATTCAACAACTACTTTTATGCATGTCTAGCCTCCATATCTTAATAAATAATGGCATTGCTTTATATGGATTTACATAATTACTTCATCCAGTTGCTGGTTTAAATGACAAATAGCTCTTTCCTATCAGAATCAATGTTCCTGTCAAAGTGGAGCTCTACATCATGTAAAGCATAATCCAATTACTTATTTTGTTCTGCCTCCAACACTACCAGTAATGGACATCCACGTTCACACTGGTGTAACAAGGAACAGATTTTGCTGTCAATGTATTGAAAATGTTAAGTGAATCTTATTCAGATCTCACTTACTTTAAAGAATAATTCAGATAATCTCAGATAATCTTCAATTATGTCTATAAAATATAACTGAAATCAGAACCCAGTTTCCTATGTTTTTCAATTGTGAATAACATTGTCTAATGTGCAAAAAGTGAGGTTTCCTCCTTATCAGGCTGTTCAAATTGATGGAAGTGAGAAATAAACTGGAATCTACTCATCTGTTATTGCAATTTTTCATTGTATAATCAGAAGTCTACCAACTCAACAAGCTAAGATGTTCAATATAAAATGCACAATTGTAAAAGTAGTTTGCAGTTCATAGTATATATCAGATCCATGAACCTGAAACTTCTGGAAAATGTGTCACTTCTGTATAATAAGATTTTGAGATGTCAGAAAAAATTAGTTCTTGTTCATTCATAAAGGTTGCTCTATTATCCTTAGGGGGTATTTATATAGGATTCTTGTCTTGTTGAATTTTATGTCTTTATTTGAGTAACTACACATTATTACTAATATTAAAAACAATACTTAAGTTTGAATAAATAAGGGAAAATTTCATTAGTAGTGATTTTACTTAGATTCTATTATATACTTTAATATAAGAATATGTTTTATTCTATGGCTCAGTGTGTCACAGTGCTTCTAATAAATTGTCTTCCTTAACTAGTTTTCCAATCTTTGAAAATCCATATCCTATTGACATTCATGAGTCACCTGTTACCTGCACAGAATATTTTGCGGACTGTCCTCCAGATTTGATCCCTGTACTCTATTCTGTAGGAGCAAAACATAAAAAGCAAGGATACAGCAATAAGGTAAACAATATTCTTTTTTTTAAGCGAAAGAAGTAGATGTGTAACCTATGTTTTTGTAACCTCTTACCATTTTATTTTTGCTTTACTCCTTTAATAATCACTTTAAGGTTAGTGCAACCTGCAGCTTAGCAGTCTGATTACAGTCCCGTATTTGTCCCTCAGAAACATGACCACTTAAGCAGAACCATTAATTATCATTAGATAGGACTTAATCATTAAGATGCTGGAGTTATTCCAGATCAGATTGTGTTAAAGGTGAGCCATCAGTGTACAATTCAAATTTGTATGGATAGGTTCTCTCTATCAAAGAAAAAAGTGAAAGCATTATAATTGAAAGACTTTGGCAGATGTTCAGTGAGAGTTGATGATGTCTGTGAGATTTGTTATTAAATAGGGATAATAATAGTAATTATTTTACTGAGCTACCAAAGTCTTACCATAATGCTGTAGAAATAGGACAAGCTTCAGGATGTAAAAGAAGAAATGCAATTAATTTATAAATTTCAAGCTTTTAACTGATTTGTATTTTGGCTAGAACTGATGCATTTTAATAAATAAAGTAGAAAAAAATACAAGTCAGACATCATCAATTGCCTATTCAAATCAATGGAAGTATTCTCCTTGGAGCTAGGTTGTTCTCCACTAACTCAGAGAGTGAGCCCTCTCTACTTCTTTTCCATCTTGGTTCGCAAAAGCAGTTCAGAAAATATTTTTATTTCTCCTATGTGGATCTACCCACACCTCATACACTTTGCACACCTGCCAGTATTTCCTGCATCCTCTCTTGCTCTCTTGCTTTATTTATGCATGTGCAAACGCACTCTGATGGTGGGTGGTCACTCATGTGCCAGAGTGACTCACAAGCATCCACTCCATGTATCCACACAAACAGTCTGTGCTCCTGGTTTTTCTCCACCCACTCATGTTCTGCACACATCCTGACCCACTCTGCACATATGCCACCCTCTACATCCTGTAACCATACATGTCAGGGCTTTAGGCACAGGGCAGTGTTCTAGACCATTAGTAAACAAAAGGCAAGGAAGAGATTATGATCTCATATGATCTGTAAAAGTTGCATTCTCTTATCTCATGGCATTGTGCTCTGATACTTGTTTCTGGGCCAGCTTCTTCAGTGGTCTTTGTATTCAAAATAAATTCTTGGTCTATTCAGTGTTCTATAGCATCTCCAAGAGAAAAGCCATCTCAAAAGACCAGCAGAATTGTTTGTTACTCCTCCTTTTCATTCCTGCTTTAGGCTGTTGAATGTTAGCTGTGTGAAAATGTTTTAAAAGCATGTTAGTTGATAATATAAAAGGGATATTAAGTTTCCAAAGACTGAACTGATGACACAAAAATGTTAATAAACTGTAAAATCCTTGAATTGCACATATTTTTGTTATTTTAGAAGTTTTATTTCTTTTAGGGGGACGATGTAGTCTACTTCTGAATTTAAAAATTAGTCAAACAAGGTTCATCAGAATGAGTTGTGATCTCTGCACTTTTCGTTTCTTTAGGAGTGGCCTATCAGTGGTGGAGCATGGAACCTTGGAGCTCAGACATATCCTGAAATCATTATTACAGGGTGAGAATGAAACTGGGGATTGGTACTTTTAAACTATTTTTTACTTTAAAAAATATTTTTAATATTTTTTCTTAATATTTTTAAAGACTATTTTTGAGTCTACTAATTTTGATTGTAAGTTAGCTATAGATAAGAGTTGAAACTTCATCCCATATGCATTTCCTGGCTCTTCACTTGAGTAATGTCACCACAGAAATTCTCTTTTGCTGTAGAAAGCAGAACTTAGTACCCAGGGTTGAGCTACATTAAGAATAACCATTGAGGCCCCACTGTTTGATAGCAATGCTTGTGAAGGCAGGGTCTTGCAAAAAAAAATCTGTTTTAAGAGAATATTTTGGCCTTGGAGGTCACAAAGAATAGCTTCAAAAAGGAGAGCAGCTGTTGTCCCTTGGCCTTCTGGATTCTCTATTTGGGGACAGTTTGGGAATTATTTTTAATAGCATTAGTGAGGGTGTGGTGCACTGGGGTGAATTTCACCTTGTGGGCAGAGAAACAGAGCAAAAAGAAAGGCTCAGACTCCAGTAGGAGCCCCATGAGTAATGACTGGTGGATTCCCAAGGTATCATGCTGTAAAATAGACACTATTCATTCAGCTAAGATGCACAATGAGTTTTACTCTAGTCTCAGTCATGTATTTGATGAATTGGTGCTACCAATGATACTAAAGACCTGATTTTAAAAATAAGGTTATGATGTATGCAGTAGTACGAGAAGGTGATGAAGGAATCATTTTCATTGTAAACATTTTTTCATTGTAAATAATTTTCATTGAAGTGTTTCCTTTTTCCAGCTTTGCTTCAGGGATTTTATGTTAATAAAAGGAACACAGTTGTGAAGTATCAAGCAAAATGAAGTTACCTTCTGTCCTTTCAAAGTTCACTGTACATGGCATTTTTAGAGTGCATAGGTTTGATGCTGGCCCACTGCAAAGCTAAAAGTGCTGTGACTTAAACTTGTTACTAGTATGGGAAGTAATTTCTTTTTGAAATCTGAAAATTCATTGGGGGCTTAGCTCTCTGCAGGGAATGCATAAAAATATTTTGTTAATCAAGTGAAACCAAATAACAAAGTATTTTCTTCTAGTTTGTATGTATGCCTTTAATATATTGTCAGTAAGTTATAGAGAGTTGCATAAATAAAATGAATTTTTCTATTTGTATTTATTAGTCACTGAAAGTAGATAATGTTTTAGAATTGCATCTTGTTTTAACGCATTTAATTTTTATATTTTTTTTAAGCCATGCAGATGGATCAGTAAAATTTTGGGATGCTTCTGCCAGTAAGTTTCTAAAGTTCACTTTTACATAATGCTGACAAATCACACAAACACACATTTATATATAAAACAGGATATTTAACAGGCTGAATAGTAATCGCTGGGCTGATATAATTAGGACAAAGGGCACATGTCCCTAGGGCACACTCTTCTTGTGTGTATAGAGGAGAAGGCTCAGTTAGACTAACATTCAGTTCCAATTGTTATGTCACTTCTATACTGAGTACAACAAAGTCTTCTTTATCGCCGAGTAAAAATAAGATATTAAAATACATTAATATATTTCAAAACATTTAAACTGCTGAGGGTGGAAAATACCAAAACCTTTTCTTGTCCAGTCTCAAATCCCAGGAAATAATTGGGAAGCATTTCCATTCATCCTAGCAGGAAAAAGCTTCAGAAAATACTTGTTCCATATAATCTAGCTATAACTGCATAGATCAGCAACCAGTATTTTTCCCTACAGAAAATACATATGGTATTCATTAGTAAAATGTATTTATTAAAATACACATACATTTTGATGGAAATTTAAAATATTCTGCTTCAAATAATTGACAGTGCTTCACCAAAGTTCCTGTAGAGTTGCCTTGTATTCTTGTCTTTTTGATGGTACAGGCATGTCTGGGTAATATCTCTCTTTTATGAGGTATTAGTGTGTTAAAGAAAAAAAAAGCATGGAAGAAAATTCTGGATGAAATGTTAGGCATAGAGAGATTTAATATGACCCTAAAAACCAGTCTGTAATGGGTGCCAAGATCATAGAGTATGGGATACTTAAAATAGCTGCAAGTTCCATGTGGTGCCACAGAATTGAAATTATTAATATTGCTACCATTATCAGCCAAGCAGGGGGAATGCTGACAAGTTTTTTAAGTCAGCTAAACCTGATGACTTCATCAGGTACTTGCCTTTTTGCTTAATACCAAATATTTTCACTCAGGATGGACAAGGCAAAAATGAGCCACTTATAGGGAATATTAGCATAACCTAATCAATATATACATGCTGCAGTAGGAATTTTTCTTAACATAGAAAGCTTAGATGATCATGAATATTCACAATCTCTTCAACATGACTGGTATTTTCAGTGCATCTCTGATGTCCTGATCCTAGTCCTGATTTTCAGATCATGTACTATGTTACTCCTACCATGCTTGGTACTCTTTATTTACAAGGTTTTGATTATTACAAAGTTTTATTATTTATTTTATTTACAAGGTGTTAACCTTTTTAATGGAGTTCAAAGTTTGAGATTCCCTAGCAAACATAATATCTTAGCAGTATTTGAAGGCACAAAATACTTTGCTTTTAGACATTTTTAATTGTGTAATCTTGTGTCTGAAAGCGCAGATCTGTGAGAGACAGGGACTTGCCAGGCCACTGGAGCTGTTTCCAAAATGTATCTTTATTAAAAAGATATTTCTGGGTTTTTTTTAATTTGTGCAGATGGTACGCAGTAAGAGAGCATAGAGAGTCTTGTCTTGTCTCTGTATCCTATGATTCTATAATTCTTCTAGTCATAATGTGCATGGACCCATGATGCCTGATTTGAAGTGCCACTCTAGATTTGCTACTGGCACCAACTGGCAACCTGAATCCTCTCCATTTGCCACTGAGGGCAGGGAGAATGTTGTATTTATTACAGAAGCACTTACTGTAATTTGTGAAATTTGGAACTGTTTTATGTGCTAAAACTTTTTAAAGCATTAAAAACTGTATATGCTAAACCTTCTGGAATATATCTGCACTGACAAACAAAAATGTAGTTTTGCAGTCTTCATCATCTGGTTATGTAACTAAAACACTGTCCTTTCATCTTCCTGTTGCTCTTGTTATACAAGCTGGCCAGGCTGAGCTACCACAATTACACTGACATAGGCAGCAGCTTTGCCTTTGTGGATATGCACACCTTTATAGGTGCTGGACTTGACTGACTTTTTCTGACATTATGCAGTTACTGATTAATGTTACTGAGAAACCAATGTAAAAGTAGTAAAAACAGGGAAGAATGTAAAACATAATGGAGTGAATTGCCACCCCTCCTTTACTTCTGGAATTTGTTGCAGTGGAGTTCTAATCTTGACAAAAGCTTCTGGAGACTAGGATTTTATATACAGGTATAAATATAGATCTATATATTAGTCAAAAAATTCAAAACATTTTTGAACTCCCATTAATTCAGAAGAACTTTATGTTGACCAGGCCACCAGCATGCTTTCCTAATGTTTTTTCTTGAATTGCCATACACTCTTTACATTTTATAAAGACCATAACCTCAGACAAATGAAATCTTAGCTTCACATCTCTTTAGGAAAGTATCAACATCATCAGAGCCTTTCTATAGCACTGATTATAAGCTTAATTTTGGACACAATCATTTACACCTTTGACACCCTTCCCCAGAAAGTACTAAGAAGTATTTCACAGACAAATACTCTTCTGAGAAGTAATAAATACATATCCTACCAGTAATGTGTACCAGAACAGTATCTGTATTGTTGTCCTGGTTTGGATGATTGTATAATACACATCTTCTCCTCTTAGGCTTTCCTAAAGTTCCTTGTTATGCCACACTTAAGAAGAAAGTGGGAACTGAGGAATTTTATAACTGATTTGCTTAATGTTAGTATTTTTATATGTTTTAATATATTCCAGTTACTCTACAGATGTTGTACAAACTAAAAACATCAAAGGTCTTTGAAAAACAGAAAGTGGGAGAAGGAAAAGCAACAGCTGAGATTGTGGAAGAAGATCCTTTTGCTGTTCAGATGATGTACTGGTGTCCTGAAAGCAGAATTTTCTGTGTGGCAGGAGTTTCTGCATATGTGATTGTTTATAGGTTCAGCAAACATGAAGTAAATACTGAAATTGCAGTAAGTACTTATTTCACTCTCTTATAAGATAACAATTTCTAAATCAAATTGCCTTGCTTCATCTGTGCTCAAGTACTTAAATAAAAATAGCAATCAGTATAAATACAAGTTTAGGAACATTCAGTTTTGAACCTTTCCAGGGAAATCTTGATCCTACTTTAGTTACTGACAAAAATCTGAGGGTTTGGGAGCCTACCCTCCACTTTCTTTTGCTTTAGTAGTAACATACAGTGCATCTTTCAGACATGGTTTGCTTTTAAGACTTTATGATACAGCAATCTCTGTTGTATTTACCTGGCCTAAAATTACTGTCTGCTGTATGTTTTTATCAGTTAATGTACATCGTGTATGTGCACAATGCTCTTTTTCACTCAAGTATTTAATCTCTTTAATTTCTGTTCATAAGGAGATGGAAAATTATCAGTGGGTTTAACAAAACAAAGAGTTGATCTTTTTCTGGCTTATGCTGACATTGTTTCCCTAAAGATGGAAACTATATGAAATGCCAGATTGTCACCTTCCCTGATTATAGTTATTTTCCTTTTCACACTATTTTAATGCTCTTTAGAAAGTTCTACTGTGGCAAAAATCTGTGTTAGTTTTGGCCTCTAACCATGTGCCATTCTGTATGGATATTCATTACCTGTAGTTCTGTTGTTCTCCACTCTTTTCTCCCTGCTCAGGCAATTATTAAGCTGCCTGAATGTATCATTCCAGGAAAGGTTTAAAACTGATGAACAGTAATTTACATTTTTGACCAGCTCATGTATAATGCTGCTAAAATTACTCCATTTCAGTATTACTACATTGTTCTACAGCAAAAGCACCTTATCTTTTATTATCTATAATTTTATGTCTTTTTTTCCCTGTTCTTCACTTTTCTGGCTGAATTGCATCATTACTGGTATTTTCTAAAGAGTTATAATAGGTGCAATTTAACAGTTTCTTAGATTTCATCTGTAATTAATAAGCATTTTTCCCTAAATATTAAATTATGCAATCTTGGTGGTATAGTTACAGAATTCCCGTGGGTTTTGTGCCAGGGGAAATAGCCTTCTCTCTTCTTTCTGCATTTTTGCTGCGTGCATTCAAGTCATTGCTCGAAATGATGGGAGGGATTTTTAATAAAAAGTATGGAATTCTTTGTTGGAATCTGTACCTGACTTTAGGCTGTGTGTTTTTGTCTGTTTTGAGACTGAGCTGGCCAATCTCAAGATTTCTTTGCTGCCTGAGGTACAAAGCACTTTGTGTCCTCCCTTCCTTATCAGCCAGGCTGAACTTGCCTTGAGTTCAATCTTAAAATCCCAGCATTTAAGGGCCCCCACATTGGTTTAACTGCCCTGATATCAGTGTTGTAATGTTTTTGCCGTGGCAAATGGGAAGTGTGGGGCTACTCAAAGTTTGCTCCATGTAGTAGGGAAGTCTGCAGCTGAATATGCCTCAGGGGCATAGGCTGTGCCTGGAATTTCCTCAACAGAAGTATTATTTGCATCATTTTATATCAGATTCTGGAGGCAAGGAGTATTCATGAGACAAATTCTGCTTCATAGCCACCCTTGGAGTCACTGCCATGCAGTTATATAAAATGCATTTACTGCTGTTATTTTTGTTTTCTTATCTGAATCCACTTCATCTTCTCTCAAAATGATCTATTAATTAAACATGATCACTTTCTCAGTGAGCAGTCTTTCCTCAGTGAAGCTCCTCTTCAAAGCTCTTGAGAAGAAACACAGGAAAAAAGTTTACAGTCATTTGACTGTGGAAAGGGGAATCAATAAGCCCAGTGATGAAATCCCCCAAAAATATCTTTAATCTGTGTCAAAATAAATCAGTTCAATGCTTCTATAACCTCCTAGGTTCCAGTCAAAGCAGAGACAAAAACATAAGAAAAATTCACAATCATGTTTTTAGCCTGAATTTTTTCCTTCTTTCTTCAGATGCACAACATCTAGAACTTTAAAAATTGATTTTAGTAGAAAAAAGAATACACACAGAAAAACATTCAACGAAGAGTGATGCACTTCTAACATGGTAAACATAAGAACATACTCTTCAGCAGTTACTCCAGTCCTGCATAAAGATTAAACAGAATTATAAATTGTTTCAGTCTGCTGCAATTACTTCCAGATTAGATTTTCCTGAACTCAATATTTCACTCATTAGTGTTTGAAGGCAAATGTTGTTTGTAGGTTTCTTTAACTGATTCAGGCACAAAATATCCATGGAAATTGAAAGGAGTAAACAAAAGGGAAGTTTTGAGAAAGGACTCTCCTTGTCTCTTCTTTCTGAAATCTTGTTTTAGCACAATGGTTGAGAAACAGGTGACTTCAGTACTAGTCACCTTTGTCTTCCAATTCTCATGAAATTTAGCTATTTTGTTAATCTTCATTCTGGTACAGGTGATATCTCAGTGAAAGATCACTAAGATTGAGTTTACAGTGTCTACCTCTGCAATTGCTTCTATTCCCAGGAAGGTAGCAGCACTGAAATTACTGTTCAACTAGTAATCCCCAGACCTTGTCTCTTTGAGAGCTGTACCTTGGTTTTTATTCTTTTCAAAATGTGGATTTCCTTGGACAACTCATGAGGTAGAAAGAATTGCTCAGTATTTACTTACATAGATTTGAACTTCCTGTCCAGTTCCTCCCTGGAGTCCTCAGTTAATACTTCCTGAATTAGTGGAGAGAATTGTAGGGTTGTTTGGCCTCGTTTTCCCTTTCTAGAGAGGCCAGAAGGAAAGCAAAAGGTAACTGGTTTGAATTTTGCTTTCTAAAATCCTCCAAACTCATGTTGATTCTGAGGAGCACAGAGCTGTCTGTGCTCCAGTCTTTGATTTCCTGGCCCCACCTATGGATGAATGAAGCTCATGTATCAGTACTATTCACAGTCAGGCTTATCCATCCTGGCTAAAACTCATCTCGTGGAGACTCTGTCATACGAGTAATCAGGAGGCAGAGTTGGTGATCCTTCTAGTTCCTATCTGATGTTGTTCTTACTCTGTATAAATAACAAATGACAGTATTCTTTGCCTGCAAATTTAGATAAATGGGGGTATTAAAAAAAAAAAAAGCATACTGGTATTCACTTGAAAGTAACAGAACTTTCAGCAGTTTTCCTTATGAAATGATAACTTAGCTTTTTATTTATTTAAGTCATTAGAGGTACGACTTCAGTGCGAAGTAGAAGACATCATTACTCCTGAACCAGAAACAAATCCTCCATTTCCAGATGCCTCCTCCCAGCTTCCTTCTTTAAAAAGCCTTTCAGGCAGTACCAACACTGTAGCATGTGAAGGAACGATGAAGGACAGTATCCCATGTCTTAGGTAAGTTTATGCCATTCTTTAAATATTGATCTTTCTAAAAAGCATTCTTATCTGTTAGTCAATCCATCAACTCCCAAGAAAAAGAGATTAATTGTATGTTTGTGACACAAAATGAGAAGAAACAACAACAAACTAACTAACAAAAAACCCAAAATAATTAAGGCAAAATAATCAACAAGGGATTTTAAAAGGATAGAAGTAATTGTGAAGAATATAAACTGTTACACGAAATGTTTTACTCCCATTTTCCAGTGTGATCTCGGAGTACATCTTCAAGGAATTACTGAGGGTAGTTCATTAAGAAACTTCCATAAAAGCTAACATGTGCAAAGCTTTCTCTCCTTGATTAATTGATATAATACTATTTTTTTAAATGAAAGAAATGTATGTATTTTTTGGTGTGTAAAACATGGAAACTGTGCTCATACTTATGAAACAATCTTTAAAATGTACAATTATGAAACAATTGCACCGTGTGGAAGTGTATATTTGTTTAATCTATAGAAAAAAAGCAAATTGTTTCCTTCCAGAATATATTGTCACTGTTTTGGAGTAGATTAATATGTTCTTATTATTAAGGCAGATAATTATGGATTTGAATAGCTTAAAACAGTAATTCTGTACAAAACTCTATAAAAACTGTAATTTTCCAGCAATTAGAGTGCATTGCTGACAAGAATTGCTCTCATTTTGGTGAATTTGTTATTATTTTGGTCTAATTATTATTAAATCTTTTAAATGCCTCAGTTATTTCAAAAGCAGTTAAAATGAACATATCCTGATTTTGCAGATACTTTAAGCTGCTTGGCTTCTGGAAGTGACAGTAGTATTTAAAAACAATATTGTGATATTGTCCTTGTAAAATTAACAGTATTTTTTGGCAATCTATTCATTTGTCCATCTCAGTCAGTCAGGCAGTTGAACTTCAGGCCTCAGTTTAATCATTAATTTTAACTATGAAAATCAACAGAACAGGCAGAGATTAGTTATTTTAAAAATGCAAATGTGAAATCTATTTATGACATTGATATCAGGAAGAATGCAATAATTTAATCATTTCACTGGTTAAGAATTTTGCTTAAGAGATTCTTACTTGATTTTGTCTGTGAAAGAGAGGAATTGTTGATGTTGGAGGCAGAAAAGTTGTAATGAACCCACAGAGATTCAGCTTGTTAGTTTTTAGAATTTTTTTTATCTCAAATGGTCTCAGATTAAGCCAGCCAATACATTTTTGTCAAAGTTTAGACAAAGTAACTGACAAAGTAATCTTATTTTGACTAAGTGACTTTTCAAATCAGAGGAATTATACCACTAGAACTGCTGGCACACTCCTACATTTAAATAAAAATATACTTATGTATGCTATTATCCTTCTCAGGAAAGACATACAAATATCCACACTTTCTCCCCAGATCTTAGGTGGGTCTATGGGCCTTGTCTAAGAACTTCTGATCTAAACAAAATTATGGTGGTAAAATGAAAATAGCACTGAAAACATTGGAAAAAGCCAGTAAAGACCAGGGTGATGCTATTGACCTTATGTGCAAATCATTCAGGTGGGCAGCAGGATAGAATCTAAAATAGAGCAATATTAATGCAAAGCTGCAGCCAGCTGCACATGGAGGGTGAGTGCACAACTTGAACTATATTGATAACGCACATGAAATTTTGCACACATACATTACTGGCTCTATTATGTTTATTTTCATATCTGCTTCTCAACATTGTTACAGCAAGTGAATGGCACTCCACACTAAATAAATTTTTCTAGCCAGAAGTCTGAATGACTGAATGTGTTTGTGTCTGTGAATAGCTACTAGGAAGAAAGTAATTGGAGGGACTGAAGTAATGAAAACTTGGTGCTTTTCTGAAATCAAAAGTAACTATTACCAAGCGAGGCAGGCAGGCAGGTATGGAATAAATATTATTCTTGCTTCTTTCAGAAGATTTTGCAGTGAAATTGGCAGCTGTAATAACCTAAAAAACCAATGGATTTGTGATTATGCAGATAAATACTTTTGATGTAAATGCTGTTATCATAAAGCTGAACCCAGAATGTCAGTCTTTGTTCCCAGATTTCTAGTATCATCCCAAAATTAGGTCAGTCAAGGGTTTTGACAGTAGCTTCAAGTAACTCCAAAGTGATAAGGAACTGTGAATATCTTGTGAAAAAAACTAAAAACCAAAACTTTGCAACAATGAAATTCAGTGTAGCATAACAAGAACATGTCAAGGAAATCTCTGAAATATCTACATTCCTTCTGCTCATACTCCTGCAGTCTGTTTAGGCTTTTATTATAACACTTCAGATAAAAAGCCATCTAAAACAAGGTGCAGAACTGAATATCTGCATTACTGTTTAAGCAGGATAGTTAGGGAAACAATGGAAGTACCTCAAAGATTCTTAAGCAGGAAGATGTCACAGAAACATAGGAATGACAACCTTAATTATTAAATGTGAAATTATTTTACTTCATTATTATCGTCTTTCACCACCTATAATTTATTCTATGCTTAGAGAAAATCCCTGTGAAATAATATCCATTTTATCAAAGCAGATCTTCAAATTTATAGTGAAAAATATTAGAGGGAAATGTGTTTGTTTTTTCCCCCTCAAATGACAGCAGTCCAAAAGAAAACTTACAAGATACTTGAAATTCTTTAATTTTTTCAGGGTGCCATTAAGAACACATTGGAAAAGTAATACTGCGATAAAAAACATGTTTTAGAAGATCCAAATTACTTCTGCTGTCAGTCTCATGGTAGCTTGTTTAGAAGAAGGAAACAGATTCAAGCTTTGACAGATACTTGTTGGAGCAGCATGTTTGCCTCTTGTGTTCTCCCACAGATTCAGTTATCCATTAGAAAATATGGATGGAAAGCTCAGCTGAAAGGGCTTTACACTAAGTCCTGGTTCTTGGATTTCATTTACCTTGTTCTATATTTTTCTAACATTTTTAAGGGCAGGAGCTGAAAGCTGAAAATGGGGTAAAAGATGGAAAGACCACCACTATTTTATCTACAGACATTATAAATTGAAAGGCTCCAACACAAAGATACTCTGAAGTACTGCTTGTAAAATATTCAGCTTCTGCTTGCTGTGAAGTTTCTTTGAAAACAATACATCTTTACCGTATACAACTCTTATCTGTAGTTTCAGTTTATCCTGGTCTCAAAGGACCCCTCCCCTTAGTAGCTTGAGTTCACAGATGTTCACACCTTTGTTCTCAGCCAGAGTGCTCCTGGGTAAAACAGGGCTTGCTTCTTTAAGGTTAGGAATAGCATCACTTTAGAAATGCTCATGGTTATGTATCATATGAACAAAAAAGGGCAAAACTTTAATGCCAGCAGAACAGGTCAGAAATTGCAAAAGTCTGAGCAGAGGTATGCTGTTTATAGAAAAGAGCAATACAAAGCTATTGCCAGCTGTGGTGGGTTGAGCACTTGCTGAACTGCACTGTCATGTCTTTCCTACAAAATCCAAGCCAAGTGCCTGATTACTGCTCCAGACAAATAACACATGTAAGGTCTGAAGGGTACTACAGGGAAAAGAAATAGAACCGTGAGTGTGCCAAGCTGCTGTTAAGGAAATGCATTTAGAGGATAGATGAGGAATGACTTTCTCATAAAGTATACTGCCCTATTTTATGCCTGTGTGCAAAGGGATGCAATACAAGCACTCTTACCAGTAACAGGTATAGTGAAAATGCACTGACAAGTGGGTATTACCTGTAAATTACTACTACAGTGTGAATGTACTAGTGACTAACATGAATACCTCAAAGTATTGCTATTATTGAATAGTGTTTTCTTCCAGCATATCCCACATTATTGTGCCACTCAAAAAAGCACATAAAGCACATAGTCATACAGAGTCTTACAGTTTCCTTCACTACCTGCTTTGCAAGTCACTGAATTTGGTAGGAACCATTCATTCACATATTAGGTGATTATACTCCTAGAAGTAAACAGGACTTGTTTGCATTACATGGACAAATAGATTTGTCAAGTCCATAGGTTTTTAATATGCTCTGGTGGGGACCACTACAGAAAGGTGTATCTTCTCATCTTCTCTTTGCATTTTCCTGTCATGCTTTACTTCAGCAACAAAAGTTCCAAATACACAGCAAAGTCTCAAAAGAAAGTATTTTAGGTTTTCCATTCAAGTTGACAATTCATAATTCATAATTCATAATGATGCAAATCAGTTGTTTTTCACGGCCCAATGTCTGTTTGTTTGTTCTCGTTTTGTACCTCCTCTTCTTAGCGTTAAGGCTCGGCCTGTGCGGATGCCTCCTGGCTACCAGGCAGATCTGGTTATCCAGTTGGTGTGGGTGGATGGTGAGCCTCCACAACAGATTACCAGCCTTGCTGTAAACTCTGCTTACGGACTGTAAGTAGCTCAAAATTAAGGTTGCATTGATTTATTGTTTATTGCGCTAAATTACGTTTTCCAACTATACTTTGAAATTTCCCACAGACAGTTAAGGTCAAAGCAAAGTATTCAAAAGATGCTGTAAATCAGATTCTTGGGGAAAAGTTATTTGAACTGACATAGAGACTGTAATATGGGATGTTAAACTGCTATTGTTGCCAATATTTTTACTCATCCTATTTAAAAGACTGAATCTTTTCACATAATTCTTTCCATCCTTTCAAATAAGATCTAATTGCATTTCAAATCTGTAATTTTCAAAGTTATTTTGAAAGGTTCACCAAGGTGAAATGCATTTAATAGAAAATGGTGAAGTGATTAACTGTTAAATACCATTTTTCATGACATCACATTTTAGTTGGAAATGGTCTTCTGAGACAGTATTTTTATGTCTGTGCTAATGTCTATTTGCACAAGAATCCGTGACCTGAAATTGAGAATTGAATAAGGAGCATTTAAATGCTGTTTTCTGGATGGCAATGCAAATGAGTGTGTGTAATTGTTTCCTCAGGTTCAGTTGATTTGCAAATTTTTAATGTTTTCTCCTACTGAGACTCACCCTGATACATTAAAATGGTTTTCCCTGTAGGTGTTACTCCAATAAAACTACTGGCTGTAATGGGTGTTAGGTGCTGACTCCTGCTGATTTTCAGTAAGTCACTGGACTCTTCTCAGAGACTTCAGCAGTTTAATGCAGAGCTTTTACATTTCTGCAAAAATACTGTCTTCTGGGGATTGTTTTTTCAAGTTTTCAGCCTGCATTTCTAGATTGTTTCCTATTAATGAATTCTAGGAGCTTCTTTTCTTTGCCATACCTTGATGCATTTGTCACTTGTGCAAATTGTTAGGTTTTGCTCCCTTGCAGGTCTCGGACCTCAAGGCAGCATCTGAATAATCACACTGTTCTGTCACTTCTAAACTACTCTGGTAGGTTGTGGTTCTCTTAATGGTCACAGTGGTTTCCTAAACCACTGATTGATTCAATCAAGTGCTTTAAATTGTTTTATTTGCTAGAAGCAATAAGAGTATACGGGACAGCCTCCTTTAAAACACCATAAGCTAAGTACAAGAGTGTTTCAGAAATAAATGCACGTATGAATAAAGTAGGATGATAACTTTTCTACAAAATCTACCCAAGAAAGGTCTTTTTCCTTACATTTTTTTCTGCAGCTCTCTTTTCTTCCTTTCTCTTGTTACTCCTAAGTTTTTCCTCAGGCCTATGACAAGGCACAGTCCTTTCTTTCATCAGAATTTTTGTTTGCTACTGTGTCACCTGTAATCTATCTTCACAGTGTAGAAAAACCTATTCCACTTCAGCATGAAGCCTGAAAACACATAGTTTTTACCATGCTAATTGTAGAGTTATTTGGGTCATCTTTAGCCTAATTTTTCTTCCTATACCAATCAGTTTAACTAGGTCGAAGACAAAAAATGGTATATGTTCTGTAGAGTCTGTTTCCAGTATTCTTTTAATTACTATGATTTCTGGAACTGTTATACTGCAGCCATGAAACAGGAATAAAGTGAGATGCAAAAAACCCTTTATTCCCAGCAAAGATGAAAGTCTTCAGACTCTGCAAAATTTTATTTAATGTAATTGGTTTACTTTTAACAGTACCAAAGCTACAAATTAGAAGTATTAACCCCTGTTTTATTTATGTTGAGATGAATCATCAACAACTTCTTGATGTTATGAAAGTAGAAAAGAAAATTTTACAAATGCTTCAATTACAACTGAAGAATTAGGTTAACCTTGAGGAACAAGGTAAAATACGAATAATAAATTTGTTTTGAAGTACGTTCTGTTGGACTGAAAGCAGTGACTGAAAATTTATTACTGGTTTGTGGAGTAACAGTTTTCAGCTAATCTGCATACTAATTGTCCAGAAATGTCTGATGAGGGTTTTATGACATTTCTGTGAAAGATAACAACAGAATAGGGCATCACCTAGCAACTGATTCTGTTAATTGCTCAAAACTGAGAAATTAATTTTGTTTTAGATTTCATAAGGAGTTGGTTGTTAGCAATTTATCTTAAGCCTTGTTAATAGTAATGGATGTCTAGATTTTTTTATCCATCCTCAGAAGCGTTTTTAATGAGCAATTTCAGATTCTTTTTTAAACTAATTTGTTTGGGTATAAGAAACATTAGATCCATGCTTGTGTGTGAAATTAGAGGAGTTTAGAAAAATACAGACCAGGAAATTATGCATTTTGCTAAATTGCTGACCAGAGGTGTGAATGATCACTACCTCTTCTTGTAACTCAAGTTGTTGAAAATTAATAAATCTCAGGTTGAAAATTTTCTAAGTGCAAATGACCATTTTTTTTCCCCTTAAACTATTAATAGATGAGATTGACACTTGTCATTTTTATTCCTTTTTCTTTCCTCCACCCAGAATGCAGGAATTTATGAACACATAAAATCAACCCTCTTTTAGTGTAAAACCTTTATCCCCACTCACACAAGCTGTTTTCTCAAGCTTGTCCAGGTCCTTTTGGATGGCACTTGTTCCTCAGGCACATCTCAGCTTGGTGCTGTCTGCAAATTTACTGAGGGTGCCCTCATTCCATTGTCTCTGTCACTGGTGAAGACATTAAGCTGTACTGGTCCCAGTATTGTACTGGGCCCCTGAGAGACACCAATTGGGGAAAAAATGCCAACGGGGAAGAGTCAAAGTGCATCCATAGTATTTCCATGGATACTCTACTGCAGTCAGTGTTGAGATTAGGGTGGTAAACACAGTGTAGTAACAACCAGTAGAATTCAAGCCACTGTTGCAGATGGTGCCTTAATTTGCTAGTTTGACAACTGAGGAAAAATAATTTCATTCTTCTTTACATATTACTTTTTAATTAGCTATATGGAACCCTCTTTTTTGTAATAGAAGCAGTGTAAGAAAAGGTAGGACAGAAGAAAATTCTCTAGCTACCCTGCTTTCACTCCACCTCATTACTTTCCTTTTGCACTGTTGTTTTTCCACACACAAATTCCTTTCAGATATTTTGAAGATACCTTAAGAAGAGTCAGGTGGAGGTGAGTGCACAGCTCCGTTTTAGTGTGAATTAGGTGCTTTTATGCTTCTGTGCATAAAATTACTGAATAGCAAGTGATTCTGAATATGATTGAACATAGTTTGGGTTTTTCAGTTTCTTTGTGGCTGTACCTGCAATTCTTTCTGTCTGGTATTTAAATTTGCAGTCTGATACAGAAGGAGAGAGATCTTGTCCATAAACCAAACCACCATCAAAATGCATTTGCAGAAGTATTTCAGAGGGCTAAAGACTGTTTCAACAGGAATCTCTGCTGTAGATAAGCTGACAGAGTTGGCAGGAAATTTTATAAATGCTTTTCAGATTTGGGTGTCTCCTCAATACAGTCTAATATACCTCATTTTTCATTATAATTTAGCTTTAAAATAATGTTTTACATATATTTGTATTTATATTTTCATTTATATTTGTATTTTATATAAATGGATAACCACTTTTTAAGGTCTATGTCCCGATTTTTAGGCTTAATTGGTATCATTATCATTAGAATTATATTCTTCATTGAAGTAATGTTTAGACATTACTGCAATGTGTTTGATAAAGAAAGTTGGTAGAAGTTGTAACTCTGCTTTCTGGAAAGTTAATTCAGAAAACGGTTTTAAAAATTCAGGATTACAAATCTGTAAGAAATAAAAACTGTGATCTTGAGTAGTTCCTGAAGAAACAGTTTGTGCACTGTTCATAACAACAATTATAATTGTTTTCAGGATTTAATTACATATTACTGACACTTTTGAGGGACGTTCCTCTTTGCAGAGTGGCGTTTGGGAACTGCAATGGTTTGGCAGTCGTGGATTTCATGCAGAAAACAGTCCTGCTGAGCATGGGCACCCTCGACCTCTATGGATCCAGTGATCCGTACCAGCGGCAGCCCCGCTCGCCCCGCAAGAGCAGGCAGTTTGCTGCAGGTAGGAAATAAATCACTCTGCTTACCAGCCTGATATGTTTCTTTGGTTCTTTTGCCTGTGGCTTTTCTAGTGCTTTTGGAATGCATGACTATTTGCCGGCCAGTGGAGTTTCTATAACTTGGCAAAAGAAACTTGACACGCTCTAGGTGCGGGCACATTCTCAGAAATAAAATGTTTTGTGAGGTCTTTTTTTCCTTTTGGGATGGAGGTCAGCAAGTAATTCCCTTAGCTGAGTCTGCAAAAAATCATAATAAGCAGAGCAATAAATTGTTTCTCTGGCAGTCACTTGATGTGTAGTTTGTATGCTATTTTCTTTCTGGTTTCAATAAGTTCATACCAATAAGTAAGAGTTCAGTTTAAGCTTAAATGTATCTTCTGCCAGGAGCTATTAATTTGAATAGTCAGCTGTGTTTAGAGATGTATAACACCTGGGAGGCATGTTGTGTAGGTAACACAAGGAGCTCAAATTAAGCACTTCATTAGTGAACTGAAGTTCTTAATATAGCCTTACAATATCCATATTAAAATTTGATGCTAAGAGGATCACAGTAAGTCATAATGTTATTATGTGTTGTGTATTAGAAATATTAATACTTCAATAGAGCTAAGTTTTACCATACTTTGTTGGTTGTCTAAACATTTACTTGTAAAAACATTTACTTGTACAAGAAAACGTCGGATCATCTGTTTCAAGTCTTTTCACTTGACATATTCCATAGTAACATGCAAGAGTCAGACACAATTATGAAATGTGTTTTGCATAGCTGTGAAGTTTTAGAATTCGATTTTAAAATATCTTTGAAAGTGTGGAGTTTTAAATCTAACCCTAAAATTATAAAAGCAACAGATTATAGTGGGTTTATGCCATCAGCATTTTCATCAGCAGACCCTACACTGAATCATCAAGTCCTACTTCTCCATAAAGTTATGGGAAATATTTTTTTAATTGGGAATGTGTTTACAATCCAAACAGAAAGCAAAATCTAGAGGAAAATTTATAGAATAAAATACAAGTCTTCAGGCCTACTTCTGCTCCTGAAAGACCATTTATCCCACTTTCTATGCATTTAATCATGGCAAGCTTAGTTCCCATCTGTGCCAAGTGTTGAATATGTAAATTTGGCACAGATGAGAGAAGAGACAAGCAGTTTCAAGTTACCTTCAGCTTCTCTGTCCAGTTTCAGCCAGCCTCACAGCAGCTCCCTAAGAAATGTGAGCAGCTAGCCACAAACAAGATGCTGCAGAACTCTGTACAAAAGGTGGAGGATTGCTTATGTAGAAAAAGCTGTTATAAGCACTGTATCACAGAGGGTTTTTCTCTGTCAGTGGCAGTCTGGGCCAATCCTTTAAGGCATCGCTCCAGCTATCCAGTGCTGCCAGAATGGAGCCCACTGTGGGTAAATGACCACTGAGAAGGATTGCAACTTCTAGATTGCTCATAGAAACTATGCATCTAAAAAAAGCCTCAGCTGCTTTCTCACCATCCATCCCACATCCTTTACTTTTTTGATTATTTTTCTTATTATATCTCCCAATTGGAAGGTAAGCATCTGCTGAAATTTCTTCACCTTGGCTGTTCTAGATGCTGGTTATGATATCACTTCCTTTCACTTTAGACTGTTTTTTCTCTCTTTCCTCTGCCTGCTGCTGATGCTGGTGTACTGGCATGTTCCAAAGACAACTTTTGCATGCGTGGCCTGTCTAACTTTTATCCAGATTTAACGAAACGGATCCGTACTTCCTATCAGAGTAAGTTCTATAAAGGTTAGGCAAAAAGCTTTATCATGATTGGACTGTGCCTGACTTAAACCCATGTGTTTGTGCTTTGTAATGTGTTTTTTAAACACATTCAGCATGCATGCAAACTTATTACATTTTGTGATGTTAACCATGCTTATTTTTGACAATTACCTGTATTATACAGCAATTCTTTTCTTTGAAAAAAAAGTCAAAGAGAAAACCTCAGTGTTATATGGGGCAGATTGGGCCTTGGAAATCATTTTTCGACAGTGTTATGTTCTTGGTGACAGTATCTTTCTTTGATTTTATATTTGTTTCCACATACATTTACTAATATGAAGCATTTCTTGTTTTGCAATGGCACTGTCCGTAGTTACCAATTAATTCTTCCATTTTTTCAGAAGAACAATGTGGCTTAAAAGAGTACCCATTGAATTGGATGCTGTGAAATTTAAAATTTTAATCTCGGTTTAGTACTTAAATATTTGGCTTTGGGGAACCATCCTGTGCCTCTGTTCTTTGAAGTGGAATGTAAAGTGGGCATAAAAATACATACATCAAAGAGGTCTATGAAAATTCATGTTTTTAATATCTTTAAATTTTGAGTTATAATGATATGAAATTTAAATATTAGTATTCATCACTGCAGAATGCAGTGAACAAAGCTATAATTAATTTTACAAAAATGACTGTTCAACAGATGAGCCATACATATCTTAATTAACTGCAGTGCTTATATGTAATTAGGTCTCTAGGATGCCTTTTTTTAAAGTACTTTTCACAGAACAATGGGATAGGCAATTTTATATTAAATATTCAGTATAGGCAGGATAAAAGAATGGCAGTTGTTTTAACACCTCTCATAAATATAAAGTTATGTAGCTATTGAAATACATTTGTACATTTGCACGACACATTCTGTTCCATCCCTCTAGGCTGATTTCTATGACTTTATTTCATAATAGTTCATAAAAGGTAGTCCGTTTAGTTGAAAGACTAGTCCAGTTACAAATTCAGCAGTCTGTAAAAAGGTTGGATGTATGATATCTTAAAGTCTATTAAAAGTCCATTAATGTCTGATCTTGCTAATTTCAAGTCTGTAACAGAGAACCTGAGTGACAGACAGAAGTCAAATGTTTGGGGCTTTTTTTTTTTCCCTCTAAAAAATTAATAAATTCTAAGGGTAAAAATTACCAATATTTTCATTCAGAATTACAGACATAGACCCTAGTGTTTCATAGCTGAAAATGTATTGTCTTGTTTCTGTCTTCATCCCCATAGTCAGAAAAGTCCGCAAAATCTTCCTATGAAGTAGTAGTCTGAATTTTAGGCAAGATGATTAACAGCTTCATTTCTTTCCTCAAAAATGGTTTGGTTCTTGCTTTTGTCATTTGATACTTACACAGGAGTATATGTTGTATGATCTGAAAGATGCACCATGCAGCAAGATCAAGAACAGGACTAGAATCTGTCACAGACTAAAATATCTTGCAAAGTCATTCTCCAGTCATGCTTTGTTATGCCTCTTATCTGAGAGATGAATTTTAAGAGGGGTATTAAGAGAGGATTTTGGATTTTGCTTGCAGGTTTATCTTCTCTGATAAGGGATGATGATGGGAAAAGTAAATTATTTTTTGGAAATTGTGCAGTCAAAGCCAATATTATTATGACAAAAGCAGGAGCAGTCATGTGATAACAGAAGCATTAGGTCTAAACTTTTAAGGGTTATATCAATGAAAATGGAAGTTAATGGGAAGATAAAAGAGAAATTGATTCAATTAAGTAATGAAGCAGGAAGATAATTTCATGTGGATCAGTATGAGAAAATAAGACTTGTAGGCATTGAAGCCAAAGAAGATATTATCAATGAGCAAGATACTTAGATTTTTGTTGGTCATTTTAGAGGTGATTTGCAGGAAGAGACAATGTAATTTAGTGTCCAGCCTAATTATGAGAGCTAAAGTGTGACACAAAGATGTAACCAATATTATGGATTAGAGTATCAGAGAGGACAGTGATGCTCATAGGTCTGTTCATGTAGTAAAGAGGAAACTTCAGCACAGAAAAAAAGTTGAGTTCATTTGGCGATGTTAAGTTCCTATTTGGACAATCCTGAATAGACTTTAGAAAGACAGGATTACTACTCTAACTTGGATGGATGAAATCCAAGTTAAAGATGTGTATTTATGAATCACTAGGGAGATATATATATATAATTATTGCCATGTTTATACCATTTGAAGAATCTCTTCAAATACTGGGTCACAGAAAGAAAGTGTTGATATTTCAGTCTGAGTTGTCCTGCAACTGAACAGGGAAAGGGAAAAAAAGAATGAACATGTAAGAGGAAAGAAGCAATATGTTGGAGAAGAGGCTTTCTAGAGGAAAGACATAAACAATGTCAAGGACATCCAATATGCAATGTACAGTGGTGGAATAAATGTTCTGAATTTTAGCCAATAAATCTATAGATAGTTTGATACTGGTTGCATATGTAAAGTAGACTCAAATGTACTCAAAGTGGACTTAGAGCATTAAGGCAGCACATTCTATGGTTTGGGAGGTGAAAGTGGGAAAGGGAAGCAAGGAGGGAAGAAATGTAACCAGTTCTAGGCATACACAGTGGAAGAGATTGGAACATAATTGTCCAATCAGGGAAGAAGTTTGTGGAAATAAGAAGAAAAAATGAGCATAACTGCAGAGCTGGGGATTACATTCAGGTGTTGATGACTGGTTCCATTTGCTGTAACATCCACAGCCACCTCCCTTTGTAGCAAGATTATATGACAAGCTAAATAAAATAAACTCTCTGTGCTGTACTGCAGAATTATGAGGATGCTTGGTTGTTGTTTGGTTGGTTTTCTTCTTCAGTTGAAATCAAGTTGTAATGTTATTGCCTGATTTTGGATAACATGCATTCAAATATTAAAAGAAGTAAATTTATTGCATCTAGAGGCATAATATCTGCAGCAGAATATAAAAATACCACAATGATGCGAAAGGAATTTGCATCGCCTACTAGAAATTCGTACCATCTGTTGGCAGAAGAGGAAAATAGTCTCTGTGAAGCATCCAAAATGTTGTCAAATCCAAAGGATGTTGATACATTGCAAAATAATTTTCATAATGAAGACTTTTCAGTGAGAAGTTCTTGTTCCTCCCTCAGGCCAATCCCTTGAGAGGGGTGAGCAGAAGTAATGTTGGTCTGACAGGAGGATACAGAAAACTGTGTGCTGTGAGTCATTGTGTATCAGTAATTTTCATTTTAATTCACACCTAAGCTCATATAGGTTGAGTTTAAGTCAATAGCTATATTCTGAATGAATTAATTTTCAAAGAATGCATGCATAGATATATTTATAGTTATATGAAAATAAAGAAAACATGGTATGATAATTCAGTGTGAAGTTGAGAGATTGAGGTAACACTGAGCTTACTTAATTTCTTGGCTTGTGACTATTTATGGTAATTTATTTATAATAAATTTATTTATAAGCAAAGATATGATGGCTTTGGGTGCTTTAGAGTAAATGATAGTTTGAATCTCAAACATATATATAGAAATCTCAAATTTCAAGCATAATTTTAAATTATGGGCTCATTAAAGTTGTTACCTCATACTAGTAGGGATTTTGATCCTTGAATAAAAAGGAAATGAAAATCACACTAAACTTAGAAAAGTATCCATGGGCCACATCTTTAAAAATGTTTTAATGCCTTATGTGATATATTTACGTCTTTCCCTATTTACACATTTATAATTTGCTCAAACCAAAGCAAATTTCTTTATAATGTCCATGAGTATATCTTCTCTCAGGTGGTTGTTCACATTGCCAGTCTCAGGTTTTTGCCTTTATTCTTACTTATGTGATATATTTACGTCTTTCCCTATTTACACATTTATAATTTGCTCAAACCAAAGCAAATTTCTTTATAATGTCCATGAGTATATCTTCTCTCAGGTGGTTGTTCACATTGCCAGTCTCAGGTTTTTGCCTTTATTCTTACTGCTATATTCATCTTGCTTAATATTTGCTGGGGTGGTGGTTTGCAGGGACTAAATATAGCTAAAATATCTTGGGGCATAAACTGCCTGTAAAATTCAAAATGGAAAGTGAAAATATTTTTTAATCTAACTTCAGTAGCTGTTGTAGTCTCAGACATTTGAGGGAAGCTGAGGTTCATGGATCTATTTATACATGGTTAATTATTGAAAAGATTTAGTTTTGTTTCCTTAAAAAGTAAATGAGAGTAAAAAATGAGCAGTAGTACAAGGAAAAGCTTGAGAGTGCATTTTCTTATCTCAAAGGGAAACATTTAGTGGAATTATAGGTAACATATAAAAATTGACAAATATGTGTTTATCCTTTTCTGTGAATGATGATTGAACAATTAATTGCCTTACAATATCTTCAGAATTTAGAATTTAGCAAGATTAAAAGAGACTTGGGATAAATGGGAGTATAATGAGCAGAAGTCATTATAATATTTCAAAGCAATAAAGATTTATGGCAGGAGAAAATCTGCAAGTGGAAGTGCTTAAGCAAATCCAAGTGAGATTAAGGCAATGCTGTTGTGCAGGGCACATGGTATCACTTACATTTTACACAGGGATATGTTGCACTTCTTCTTTAAAGGAATCTGTAGGTGGTCATTGCTAGGGGTGGCAGTGGCTTGACAGCAAGTCAAGGTTTGTAGAGAAGTTCATGTGTTCAACATTCTTAAATAGCATAACATGAAATGTATCTTTAATGTTTTATGTTGCAAATTGTGCAAAACATGAAGAAGTCATGGTTTTCTTACTGTGGTTGCTCTTGGGTGGTGCAGTTTGGTGATTCTCCTGTTTAAGTCCATAGCATCATAATTTATATTGAGATGGAATACTGTTTTTATTAATTCCATAGTAAACCCCAAACTATTTAGAAGCAAAGTCTGTCCAGGGATTTAATATTGTATCCAACATCAGTGCTAAATATACAATGTTTAGAACATCTTAGACAAGGTGTTAAAACTTACCTATCTTGAATAATGCATTTACAAAATAAACAGTATGAGTTTTATTTATCCAAGGGCTCTGATGCTATGCAAAATGGCTCCCACTGCACCTTGCAGACAGTTCTGCAGCAAAAATCAATTCTGTCCCAAATCTCTAGGTACATACAGAAATCTTGGGTTCAAGTGGAAATAAGATCTGCCGTACTAGAGAGGCTTCCCAAATTATTAGAGTTCCTGAATATTCTCAGAACATCAAAAGTGACTGAACTTGCAATTGATTGAAATATAAGTTTTTCTCACAGATTCTAAGTGAAATGAAAGAAAAATTCAAGTAAATTTTTCAAAATAAAAAAAAAATCTTTGGTTTTCAACAATAGTGTCTAGTTTGGAAGATCTTGTTTCTTAAGTCAGCAGCAAGTATGTTGTTAATACTGACTTAACAGATTAAATCAGTACTTCTGGTTTTCCAAAGGGCTCTCAGCATTATTCCTGTACTCCTGCATCTTCATTAGTGGTAGGAGGTTTTTTTGTTCTTCTGACTGGAGCTCAGGATCCTCTCCAGTTTTTTATAGCAGTTCAAAAATACATTGTAATAAAGTTGTCAGTACCTACTTTAAGATTCCACTGGTTTTGATACTAAGAAAACAGGACTGGTGACTAAGCAGCAGAATTTTCCAAAATAAGAGTGTATATGAAGTTTAGTGGTGAGGGTCTCTGGGCCTGAGGGTGCAGAAGTAATAAAAATTATAACATTTTCTCTTACAGGAGCCAGAGTGCCCATTTAAAGCATCCTGAAAGGTTCTTGTAGGATGTTTGATTCTCAGGGTGCAGCACAAGCAGAGTGTGTAAATCCAATATCAGTATGACAGAAATGTACCAGACTGTGGCTCTGACCTGAGTGCTGTGGGTCCACCTAGCTGGCATGTGAATGTCTGGGCAGGGTTGCCTGTCAGTCCCAGGTAGCCAGTGGTATGGAGTGCCAGAGCTCCTAGAACAAGGGGAGCCACAGGGCATTACAGATACATAGAAAGGGTGTGTTTAAATAGATATGGCCATGCCCAGTTAGCCCATGGTAAAAGAGAGAGTGAGCTCAGACTTTCCTTCCCCACTATGTCAAAGGCATATTTGAACTTGAACATTCAATCTGTGCCAAAGATGGATCTTAGTTTGCTCACAGAAACAAGCTCGAGTTTGTGCATTACAGACTAGGATTGCTTTCCTTGGTGCTGTCTTCCATGTAGGTGAAGTTCCTGACAAATATATATAAACCACATATAAAGTATTTTGTCAAAAAATTCAGTGTTACATTCAGCCAGCATTATCAATGCTTCTGTGTCCTTTAAAATGACCTATCTTGTGTGAATTCATGAAAATTCTAATATTGCACAGTAGCAGTAATCTTACTTTTTTTCTTCCCCTCTTTTAAGATTTCTTCCCTGCATTATGGAGCAGTTGAAAGCACAGAGTTCATTCCATATCAGATTGACAGGGATGAATGAGTTTGAGTCATATCACAGACTTTTAAATTTTAAACTATAGATACTTGTTTTCTTTTGTTAGGTACAGTCACTCTTTTCTATCCCGAGGCACTCGGAAAACAAATCTGAGTTAACAAGAGGTGTGATTTTTTTTTTTTTTTTTAACCAAGCCTAAATTGCTGCAGTGACAGCCTGATGACTGCACTTATCTGAAATCGATTATTTCCCTCTCATTTCACACAATTCCTTTCTCCAAATTGACTTTAAAGTGCAGAATATCATCTTCAAGAAAGTTGAAGCATGCCCTGTTAGATTGTAACTTAACTCTTTAACTCCATTTTTTCAGGCCTGACTGAACTCAGTGACAGTCCAGTTTCCCTGGAGCTTGAGCGTTGCAAGTCTCCCACTTCAGGTAAAGGTGATTGGCTTCTCTTCCAGCAGTCTGTATAAGCCATTCATGTCATGCATCACTGTGTTTCATTAATCCCTAAGAAGTGAAGTACATAGTTCCAAAGAGAAGAAATCACTGGAGAAGCGCTTTTTACGTAGCACAGTAAAATCCTAAATCTGTTTCCTTATGGAAAACTTAAATGTACGTGGTGCATCCTGAGGTGTACAGTGTGAAAACATTTGAAGTAACAGGATCATGCAGGTATATTCTTATAATCTCCTATAAGAAGCTTATTTCTCTGTTTTCTTAGAAGGCTTTCTAAGTCTTTTTACAGTAGGGAGTCCTGTAGTTCTATAAGTATATATTATGCATACGTGTACATGGAGAAATTATTTGAAATCAGAAATATGGAGATGGTAAATTTTAGCCATTAGAACCCTATTGCCTGATCTACATCATTTGCAATGAAAGCACAACCTCAGATAAAAATATTTGCTTATGAGCCAGGGCAGGGAAATCTTGGCCACACAAAAATTCATAAATGTTTCCCATTTTACCCATAGTCCTTCAAAAGGTGGAATTTGTCCTAGAGACCTTTTCAGCAAGTGCCTAGTCTACATTGATCTCTTTAATATGAATTCACTGTCCTAAAGATGGTTGTTAAGAGCTGTTTTCTAGTAGCTGGCTTTTAAATGTTATGGAAAATAAGGAGGTATAGCTGTGATACATTCGTTTTCCTTGTGGTAAGCATATCACAATTCTTTTCCTTGTAAGTAAGTATTGATCAGTATTTTTTCCCCCTTAATTGTGGTAACAAATACCCTATTGTATTCAATGTATGCTATTCAAATTCTCTGTTATTGTTTCACATATTTTATGTCATAATAACAGGATACATTAATCTTGAGTGAAAGCCACTAATTAGTAATTTATAAAAAGCTGAAACTAATAAAAGTGTTTCCCTGACATAGTAAGAGCTAAAACAAAACAGCTGCTTTGAAATATGTATTTCCTTGTACAATTTGCAACCCAAAATCTGTAGATATGGAGATATCCAAGTGAAATAGCTATAGTAATATTAGTATAAAACTAGGGGCTCAAACCCTTGAGCATGGCCTCAGAAACTCATGATCTAGGCTTTAAAAGAAAAGCTTTAAAACATTTGATAGCTCAGTTATAATTAGATTATTTATTGTGTGGCTCACTGGGATTCAACTTTTCACTTTTCAGAAATGAGCTAAAATCTTTTCTTTTCACTGAAAGCTAAGAGATGACTGACTTGGTAACCATATGCGCATATTCTTAGTTTTATAATGATGAGTGTCTCCTATAACACTTTACTTTTTCTGTGGCTAACTTCAATTTTTCGTTCTGCTAGTGCTCAAAAATAGCTTTCTTAGATAAATCTGAGATAATTTGCTCCAAAATTTATTCTGCTTTTTTCTGTTTTGGAGATATTCAGCAGGGAAAACATGTCATATTTATGGGTGTTTCCTATTTTAGCACTTTCATGTTGTTTTCCAAGCTATATTTATATTTTTTTAAATATGAAATCAAGTGCAGTTTTGTAGGAAGTAACTATTATTAGAACTACTTTTTAAAACAAGAAGTTTCTTTTACTGTGACTGATATTAATTATTTTTATTTCATTATTGCAAAATTTAATTAATATTGCTTCTGCATACCTGCTGTAAAACAAGGTAGAATCCAGCCTAGTCACTTGGAATAAGTGACCTCAAAACTGCACCCTCAAAAACTTGGGAGTGGAACTAATCCTGTGTTTAACTAGCACAGCCTCACACCCACACCAGCCTTCTCACTGACTAATGTTTCTTGCTCATAGAGCACAGCTACATACTTATGGATCTGTCAGGCAGGATCCTTCTACTTCAGTCCTTGCCTTTATCTGTTTAAAGTCCATGGCACACAAGCTCTGCAATGGAAGTGTGCTGTGTTCCATAAGAGCCCCGTGATCTTTGTGTTTGTAAAACCACTGACCACATTCCTCTGCTGAAAACAGACCAAGACTTGCTCCTTCATAAATTTAGCAAAACCAGAAAGAACACTTGAACTGCTCTGTGATATGGTTCAAGTAGCTGCCCAGTGGAGGAGGGCCTGCTGGGTATGGCTACGTGGGGTTGCAAAGACAGACAGAACAGAGTTTGATTTGTAGCTGTTCATTCTGGTTGCCAGAGCACATCAACATCAGTTCTTCCCAGCAGGGAAGTTCATGCCAGGTGCTGGCCCTGAGTGTGCTCAATACATACACAAAGTGCAAACTGCTGGAGGGCAGTTTGAGTCTAGATGGCAAACCCTGCACACGTGATGGATGGCAGAGTGGTGAGCATTTTCATCCTTAGCTCCATCAAAAGGGCAATGATTTGAGGAACAATGTTGCTGTGCTCACATGTGTACTTTGAGACTCCCAAGACAATGTCTAGGAGGAATCCCTAGGGTGCAGTAATTGCCAGTGTAGACATGAATAGTTCCACATCTGGGAGAGCCATTAGTAGTTTACTCAGATTTCCATTCCAGTCAGGCCATAAGAGCAGTGTTGATAAAGGTTTTTTGGGGAATTTGAAAAATCTCCTGCCTCCTCATTTCTTGGTCTGATGTTGAACATTGCTTAGACTGCCTGAACTGTCTCTGCTTCCATGAAAAATTGATTATGCCTATAACATTCTAGTGCTTGGCAATGTTTTAACCTATGACTAAATTTCTGCAGAGACAGCCTAGGTCAACTCAGTAATTTGGCTGTGTTGTTTTTCTTCTCCCTTCCTCAAAGCAGAATTAGGCATTTGTGTGTTCTATCATTGATACGAGTGATGGAGCACTGAGCAAGAAACTCAGGGCTGAAGAGTACTCCTTATTTCACATGCAGGGCTAGTACATAATTCAGTACAAATCCTACTTCTTCATTAAGTAATATTATACTTGGTTCACAAGACTGCCTTCTCAGATGATCCTCCTGCAATACTTACTAAAACATGACTTTGCACATGTTATAATTGAAAAATCAGATTCCTGTTCTGAACACTGTTCAGAATAGAACATAAAATTAAACCATTTGATTAAAAGTTTTCTGAAATGTACAGTGCCACACAGAGGATCGCAGCAAGTGAAGAAATAGCAACCTTACATTTTAAGAGTGGTAGGTAGACAAGAGGAATAATCTTCCTTAACCACTGGTATCTTGTTTAATTAAACTAGTATTTAAATACTATAGAGATGTGTTTACAACACTATAAAGGAAAAGAAGAAGTCAGTAAAACTATTTGAAAGATTCTACTTATTTTCAAATAGCTGAGAGGTGGCAATTTCCACTGTAAATATATTCTAGATGTAGTAATATATATGGAATAACACTGGTAAAAAATGTGGAAGAAAAGAACTTTAAAAACCCCCAAACTCTTACTTATCTAAAGCATGTTTCATGAATGTAGAAATGCAGCAAGGCATGCATATCATGGTACTTGGTGCCTTAAAACCAAAAGCCTCAGAACATCCTATTCTTACTTCTGCATGCCTTGTTCTTTCAAACTGCATTTTCATTTTTGTTTGTGATTTGGGGGGTCAAAAGGGCTTGGTGCTATTTTTATTCTGCAGCGGCGCACGAGACCTCAGGAGCTCTAAAGCACTCGTCATGTAAGTGGTGCTGTATGAAATGCTTGAGTTAATTACTGTGTAATGTATTACAGAACAGTACCCATTCCAGTAAATTTTGTCTTTATTTTTATCATCTCATTAGGTAAACTTATTCAGGGGCTCTTAGGAATATAATGTATAATATAAAATTATGTATGTCCATTACTGTTTTAAACATTGATATGGAGCTTCATATTGAAGGGTATTAATAGGAATACACTGTGAGCATAGGAAAAATGCAGCTTTGGATAGGTCATTTGTTGTGTGAGATACAATTGGAGGTTTTAGACTTCTTTCAAAGACCAGAAGGAAATAATTTCTGTTTGTAGGAGAGTGACTTCTCAAATGTTTGCTCTAAAATGAAAAAGGATTTATGTTTTTTTCTTAGGAAGCACCTTCATATTGGGGACTTGTCTCCAAAATGCTTTTAAGATTTTGGAGCTTAGAGAAGGCTGTGTAAAGATTCCCACAACTAATTTCTATGAGCTTTGAGACAGGTCCCTAATGACAAGACCACAAATTTTTATACATACTATGATTTCCAAGTGCTGCTATCCTTATTAATCTCACTGTTTAAATCTGCTGGGATTAGGCCTTTGCCATGCTAAACTCCCACTTTCCTATATGAAGTGTTTTTAAAATAGCTTTCTTTCAAGAAATATTAAGTTTCTTAACAATCATTCTCTTTCTTAACATGTGGGTGACTTCAGAGTAGCTGAAGATACTTGACTCCATTTGAAAATTGTATTCTCCTGGAAAACAAGCTAGAAAGTAAACATTTCAAAACATTTTGTGTCTGTAAAATGTGGAATGTAATTTATTTTGAAACTTAGTTACTGATAACACTGCAAAACCATTTCTACTTATCCATTAAATTAAAAGGTATGTTAACTAGTCAGAAGACAATAATTAGAGATTAGCTTCAGCAGTGTGGATACAAGGTGCATTGTATCACTATTTTCCATAAGCAAGGGAGTTTCTGAACAGATTAATTAATGCTTAAGTTTTTGAGAAGGGACATGTGTGTAGAGATTAGCAGGAACAGAGAGCACTGTGAGCTGGGGACCTGGGTTTGGACCCTTGTGCAGCCCCTGGTGCATGGCTCAGGATTCAAGGGGGCTTCAGCAGTAACTGGGACTGATATTTCTGAGTGTTTGCCAGGTAGAAGCTCCTCAGTAGAAAAAATCCTGTATAAAGTCACCTTCATTTCTAATAACATGAAAATCTGTGACCACAGTGCTGTTGTAATAGCTGAGGGAAGCTCAGCATCAAGCACCAGGGCTGCGAGCGCGCGTTTGTTTGTTGGTTGTGCCATGGTGTTTTCCTTGAAATACTGAGCAGAGCCATATGGCTCCGGAGCAGGATGTTGTCAGGTCAGGAGATCTGCGTGCTCAGCTTAGCTGCCTGCTAGACTGTACCTAGGAACTTTTCCTCATCCCACAGTTGAATAATTTGACTGTTAACATTTGAAGCTCTTTTGGGTAGGGGCTGTCTTGCCTTATGCTGTAGCATCGCAATTTCTGCTGGCTGCCTCCAGCATGAATATAAACAAATGATGATAGCAGACAACTCTGCTGGCCTTTTGAGCCTTTATACTCCATTCTCAATTCAAACTGTTTTTTAAAAGCTCTCTGTCAGCAAGATAGGCTTACATGCATGATCCTTCTTTATAATAAATGTCAAGATGGTAAAACATGCATGATTTCAATATTAAAAACAGGTTACATAAACTGATCAGAATGTGGATATTATTCATAGTTAAAAGTTAGTTTAAAAGAATTAATATAGGCAGCTTTTATCACAATAAAGCATGAAAATAACCAGCTTCTTGTTGTTATTACCTTCAAATATGGGTCTGTCGTCAGAGATCTGTGCCATGTCCTAGTGCATCAATGTCCAGCTGTGTGATTGCCATGTGAAGGGTGTGCAATTGTCACGTTGCAGTTCCCAAACCAAGCCTGTGTAGACCCCTTCAGAGGAATCAGAAAGTCCAAACTTTGCCTGTGCTATATGAGCCTGCACACAAATAGCTGGAAGCTATTGCAGTTCCGACGTGTGTCACCATTTGGGACACAGCTGTGGCATGCAACACAAGACACATAATTCCTGCTGTACACAAACACCTGTAACCTAGAAATAGAAGAGGTTAGACTACCAGTTTTCAAAGCTCAAAGCTGCATGATGACAGCACTAATTTAGCTACTCTGAGCCCTAATCTGTTAGTGAAGTGTCCTACAGTTTTTCTTCTTAATTGCTTATCCTTTTTTCAGAGTGCTGGTTAAGCCAGATGTTGTCCTTCCCCTAAAAAGAGATTATATCACAAGTGATTCTTATTTATAGCAGAGCCACCCATTCACAGTCTGAAAGAGTATTTGACAGCTGCTCAGATAAATGGAATGGGTTTCTAAAGGCTGTTCTGAAAATCAAACTGCCCTTTATGTGAGTGCCTAAAATGGACATTGGTGCCTAAGACTTGGTATCCAAATTAAGAGAATTTTTATGTAGTAGTGTTAGGGATGTGTTTTTTTGATGTCAGGCTGCTCTGGAGAGACCTCTTCACCATGTCCTGATTTAAAGTTATGGCTACAGATGAGTTAGTGGAAGGACTGTCTTGTTTCTACTGATAACAAAATATTGCTTAAGAGCCTCATGGGTTCCCCTACTCATCCTTGAAGACAAAAACATCTAACATAGGTGCTGGCTGATATTTAATTCTGCAAAATTGCAGGCTTTGCAAAATAATACAACAGATTTTTTTTTTTAAGGGATTTTGTGACTTAAAAGAGTGAGTGTCTGTTCTGGGTATCCTTCTGAACTAAAAGCTTACTAAATACAAATTACAAAGAATTTGTTCCTTATATTCATATGTTCCTGTCACTGTGGTACTTATTTATCATGTGGGACTTTCTTTAGAAGTATAATAATAGTAATAAAATAATTAGTTGACAAATATTTGATTGTTCCCTTCTAGTAACAGACAGCATGGGTAAGGGGTAAAAGCCAGAAAACCGTGTGAAAAAAATAATTAATACAAAATGAAATAATCAAATTGGAAATCAAGTCTTCTGAATAATTAATAAAATATTTCTTAAGGCATTCTTCTGATAAATTTAATGCCATTTTGACTGCTACAAGACATGCTTTATTTCAGTTCTCTGGTGTTCATTGTTTGAAAATGTGCTCGTGTGTGAGGAAATGAAAACATTTTTGAACAGAAGCAAAATTACCGGTTTCTTGCATAATTGGAACACAGCAAACAATTAAATCTTCACTGAATTGAGTGCAAATTTTGATGACTAGATAACACCACATTACATCCTGAAACTGCTGTATTTTGTTTCTGTGAAATGTGTCTTCCTTTCCATAATATTACAACAGTATGTTCTGTCACCATAACCTCTACAATATGCCCTCTCTTTTTCAAATGCTATCTTGAGGTATGATGTCATCAGATCTCATAATTTCATTGCACCCTCTTATTAAATTGGTTTGCAGGTGTTTAAATATTTGTGATATGCTGCATAGCCAGCATTTGCAATATTTGCCTTAATCTCATTTGTGGTTTCTTTTTTTATCATTCCTGTCACCACAAGGTAAGATATTGCAGCACACAGCCAAAGCTGTGTAAAACATCATTCACTCCTTGACAGCTGGAGTAATTTTGTTTTCCAGTGCTTCTTTGTTCAATTGCATTTATTTTGCTGAATGGTGTAAATGAAAATATTTAAACCATTTTTCTGCCTTTATATGCTGATTAAAAGAAAAGTGCTACAAATTTGCAACATGGTTTTAACCAGAAGATGGCATGTTGTTTTCCCTCGCTCCTTTTTCTTTCTTACTTATTAACAACTGCCTTTCTCCTTTTTCTGTTGTTTCAGTTAAAGGATCAAGAAAGTTAAGTCTGCCAACAGATCTTAAGACTGATCTTGGTACGGTAGGCGAAAGCCAACAGCTTTAAACTTCCTTACATTCATTGGCAAAACATTCTACCAACTGATTCATGAGATAACACAATAACCTCTGAGGCTTTGTCTGAAAAGGCTTTCTAAAAACCACCTATTAACCCATACAGTTCTGTTGGCAGCTCTCAGCATTTTGCTTGTTTAATATTCATTTATTTCATGTAGACATATATTGCCAATCATTACACACTGTGTGTGTAATACTTTATTCTGAAAAAACTCCAGAAGTTTTTCCAAGCTGGTTGTTGGTGAACTCTGCCTATAATACCCAATGCATGCGCTGGTATATTTTCTTTATTTGGTGTACGAGTTGTGCCACAATAGTGACAAGACAGTTGAACATCTGTATTTTATGGTGTCTTTGAATGTCTGAGAAGTCAGGTTGGAAATCAGTCATTTGTCTCTGTCCTCTCCTTGAGACTTCCCTCAGCCAGCTGTTAAAAACATAGCTTGTTTTAATCTTTTTTCTCAATTCTACTTTAATATTTCTGTGGAAGAGCATAATAAGAGCACAAATTTCACCTCAAAAAAGCTAAAATGAAAATTTCTGTATCTTGAATGACCTAAAACTGCTGGGATCAGATCATACAACATCACAGCCACATAAATGATATTGCTCCTGATATTTGGATTGGAATGTGTGATTCACACAAAAATTTCTTATAAAAATTCTTTAAATATTCTCAGTCTCAAGGAGTTCTTTCTAATTGTGCTCTCTTGGGAAGTTTCCCTTGTAAGATGACTGAAAAAGCCAAGTAGCATGCCTCATTACTCAGTGTCCTTTTAGAGATAAAAATAAAAGTCGGATCATGTCCTTGGATGGGACAGCTGAACTTCATTTCTGTCACTGGGAATCATGTGCACTTGTTAACCAAGGGTAGCACTTGTTCCACAAGGCAAAAGTCAGGGGCATAAATATGTCTCTCACCTTATAAATTAATGAGAAATTTGGAAAACTGTCAATTCCTCCTGGTAAAGATTAAGTAAACATTGAAAAATCACTGGAAAATTCAACCCAAATTGTGCAGGCTTCAGAATACAAAGTGATTCAGTTGAAATAAGTTTGAGAAAATAGGAATGGAGGAATACACCCAAAAAGAAATTGGAGTGGAAAATTGTAATGTTCCTAATACTCCAAAAATGTGAAAGAAATAGGCATCTATAAACCTGTAAAATTAATATTTATCACTAAAATAATGGTCAGCTATTAAGAGGGAAGGTGAATGCTTAGAGTGTCAAAATAGCCATAGGATAGGTCTTAAGACTAAGCCATATTCTACAGATCAACTTCTTTTTATTAGTATTATTAAAAATACATTTTCTTGAAGGACACATAGCATTAAATAACTTTAAATCCTGAGGCATAAGACAAGCAAAAGATAAACTTAATGGACAAAAGACTGGATTAGAGGATTTTGAAAAAGAAAGAAGTATATAACTGTAGTTAGAATTGGTGAGAGCTTTATTGTATAAAATGCTGCATATCAGAGAAAAAGCAACTTTATCATCAGCTTTCCTGTAATCATGTTGGGAGCAGGCCATTATAAGTTTTTCCTAGAATATATTGACAAATTGCAGGCAGATTTGTATTTTAACTACCCCACCAAACACCAAAACAAAAATCCCCAAAAAACCCCAAGGACAGGGGAGCAGGGTAAAAAGCTCCAGAAGTTAAACAAATTCGACCTGAAAGGGTTGGAAGCATGATGGTCCATTTTAAATGTATGACATGTGTAAGGAACTTGGAAGATTAATGGAATGCATAATACTGCCTGTAGTTTTGATTTCAGAGTAGTCATGCTTCTACCATTCCTTTATTTGCTTGTATTAATTATTTTTGATAGTATAGAACAAGCTAAGTATAAACTAAAATAAGCCTAAGAAGGTCTAGTTCAACATCTTGCAGAAAATAGTGGAATGCCATTTGTTCCAAAAGCTTCATAAGCACTGAAAGGAGTGATCAAATTGTCACTAAAGCATCCTGTTTGTTGTTAGTGCTGCAGCAACCAGGTATCCTCTGCTCAGATTACCCAGAAGCTAAGGATGAAGCTTGTGGAAGAAGCATTCAGTGTATAAACTGGCATGTAGTCATGGATAATCAACAGCAGAGAGAGGTTTAGAAAAGGAAAAGAAAATGGACAGAAAAACCCCCAGACTTCCAATTCTCTTTCATGACTGTCTTAGAAGGGCAAAATATTCCTGTTAGTTATTCTAGCCATTAAAACTGTGCTGAATTATAGATTGCTTAGTTTAAAACAGGCTGGGAATAGCCTCTCTTTCTCAGTATAAGGAGCTACATTTAAATGAGAATTCCTGGAAAAGGTTATGACCTCATTTCAGTTACTTCTGCTCCAAAATGTCCTGGCCACACTGTAAGAGATTATTTATCCACTGTTTGGCTATTGCCTGAGATTGTCCCCATAGTCTGAATATGCAGGGGCTAACAATAGTTTTTGGCCCACACTTCTTGTAAAGATATTCAGGTCACTGCTTTGAGATGATAAAATATTGTCCATGTATCCCATTGGCTCTGGCTCATAGCTTTTTAGAGAGTGCTGATACATCTCCCACTCTCAGCAGTGACTGCAGCTAATTGGGACATGCATTAGCATTTGGCAGCTCACAGTTCTGCTCCCTTCTTATGATCTGCCTCGTGGAATGTCCTTGCTTTCACTTTGCTTTGAATTGTAAATAGTAGAGGTTAAGTAGAAGTTAAATCTATTTCAGGTGGAGGTGTTGCCTGTACTGGAAATTGTTTGGGGAGTAGTTTGCTATCATTTAGGGGAATAATGTGTGATCTGATGACTCAGGGTGTTCTTGTTAAACTTCAGCAGGATTTTCATGACCTAAAGGTACTTTGGGACTCCACATTGACCTTTATGTGACTGATGAAGTTGATCTCAGCTTCTTTTTATTTTGATGTGGTGATTATTATCTCTCATTGCTGAAGCACTTGTCCCCTGTGGATGTTGTATCTCCACACAGAAATGAGTAATGTGGCACATGAAGGAATACACTGAAACTTCTTGATAGTTTTAGCAACTGCAGGTCACAGCAACCCAATGTTTATTTGAGTTGACCAGAAGGAAGACGTGGCAATGCTGCTGCATAGACTGTACAGCTTCACTATTACCCTTCAGAGGCAGCTCTGAATGGTAGTATCTTTATTTTTAAACCTAATAATGTTTCCCAAAGTCTTCTGAACAGACCATCTTCATTTCCTTGCAGTGTTTCACAGAGATGAGTTATGGGGATAATCTGATGTTATTGAATCAAGTGAAGAGTTTGAGATATATCCAGACACATAGGACTGCTTTGGTACAAGAGCTTTCTAACGTTGCTTCACCAGCCACTTCAAGCATCACCTTGTATTTTTCTTTTAGAAAAATATTTCTGCTTATTTTACTAAAAGTTTTTAAAGGTTCCAGCTGATCACAGGGAGCCAGACAGAAGCAATAGCTAAAGATGGGGAAGAGTCAGTAATTGCTGACTTTTCTAGAATTACTATGAACAGATGGCTTGACTGTAAGGAATTATGCCATCACCTAGACTTTATTAGTGAAAGAACAAAAAGAAATGCAAATATAAATAGATGTCTTTTTTTTCCTCTTGCTAAGCTGTGATCTTCAAAACCATAATATATTTTCCTAAGCTTTCTGCAGATACTTATAAGCAGTGAATGAGTTCTTTCCCTAGTCAAGTTAATGTCTTCCATTAGCAGTGAAAATCTAGAAAAATTACCAAATAAGTTAATTTTCTTCAGGGGTTTGAGAAACATATTCCAGTGCAGAGGCCCAAAAGCTTTAATTCTGAAAGTTGGGTTCATAAAACATAATTAAGGACCTGGGGTTATGGGTTTGTACTTAATTTTGTCCATTTTGGATGAAGTTTGTAGAATCTGTTTGATTTATGTAAATGAGAATAGAGTTATAATATGAAAATATCCACCATTTGATGGCTTTATATTTCATTGACAGGAAGTATCACTTTCTGGATGCTCCCAAGACTCTAAAACATTGCCTGAATAAATAAAACCTCATTTCCATTTTAAGAATGAGCAGTGGGTTTATAGCAATCCTTGCTTCCATTTTTCAAAGTATTTACAGCAGATATTAGGCACTCACACCATTTTTAAGCTTTTAATCTGTTTTGCTTTCTACTGCATTGGACAAACTGGTAGATTTTAGATGGAGAATTCTATTCTGATTTATCTAGATCTATACTTCTGTTTACAAGGCTAAAGAACATTTCAGAAATTTTGAAACTATATGAGTTGCTTTCCTCCTTGGTATGACTTTGTAGAAAAAGCCCAGATATCCAGTTGTACCAATGATTTTCTTTAAATGCTTGGCAATATACATTGGAAATTATTTGTATTTTTGCATGATAAGGATTTTAGGGACTGTCCATTGTATGTCTCCTTCCAGAAGGGCAGAGGACCTTTCTGCCCTCTTCTCAGTGTGCAGGTACCATCTGAGTTGAGGAATCATCTCAACTCTGCCTCTAGGTAGAGTCACTGCATATTCAAGTTTGGAGGGGACCTCTAGACCCCTCAGATCTAGGTTGTCTAGACCCCCATCCTGCTCAAAGCAGGTCAGGCTAAACCAGGTAGGTCAGGACAGTGTCCAGTCAAGTCTCACAGCACTTGGTCTGCAGTCTGGCAAATGCCAAATACCAGGGAAGGATTTCAGCCCTCAAGCAGCTGCTCATGCTGAGTCTGTGGAGGATGAGCTTGGCCTTTTCTGCTTCAAGTTGCATCACTATGAAGATGCAAAACATTGTGAGGAAGGACTAAAGTCTTCCACTTTTACAGAAATTGTTTTAAAACTTTAGTCTTTCAGCTATTTCACATCTTGAGGCTTGGATTTTTATATTCTGTATTGAGGACCCTACTAGACAAAAGTCTCTTGATGTTCCAAAGATCAGGTGTATGATAACACCAGTTTCTTCCTTCCTTTAAGTAGAAG